CTAATCACAGCCAGTCGGGATAAAATAATGTCCGACATGCATGTTCAAATCGTTGTCCACCGTTGATCTCCACGTGACCACGTCACGTGTGCATTGGGCGGGGCTTCAGCGCGCGTGCGACATGCGCAAGAGTTGCGACGCCTATAATGTCACTCGCATGATAAGTCTGTTCATTCAAGTGATGCATTATTTTTTTATGTCTTGGCACACAGAGAGGGATCGGCAGATTCCAACGCTCCCCGCTTCCGATCTCCGATGATCACAAGGAGGCCATGCAGCTGGCCTCCATCTTCAACTCCGTGATGCTGCCTGCTTTCAAGAAGCAGTAGACGTCAACTGGCCGTAAAAACAAATCGAAGCGCCGATTCCAACCGTAATTGCTCTTGCTAAATCATTAAGAGAAATTCGTAGTGTGTTAAGATCCAATAGGCCTTGAACTGAAATAAGCACTTTATGTAAACAGAAGTAAAAGCAAGCTAGTAACAAAAACTTAAATAGCGTGAGCAAAATACTTAGAAATGCCAAAGACAATATTTTTTTTACGGTAAAGCACCGAATGTGTATATTCACATTGGATTTCATTAAGCGTCTGATTTAGCTTTCAACTTAACCATAATGTAGTGATGTAGGCCTATATGCTTTTGTCTTATTTAGCATTTTGATATTTTTGAAATGACTGAAATCTCGCGCACGTCTGCAGAATGCGATGTACTGTGTGGCATCATTCACAACTACGTGTACACTAAACCAAAAAAGAAAGAACCCCCCCTCAAAACTTTTTTGTCTAACTCGAAAACTACTGGGCACATCTTGCTCAAAATAAGACTGATCAGTACAGAAATTCCTTGTGTGAACCACAACTTGCAAGTATATACAAAAAATAATGTGCAACTGTTTTCGGTATCATTTGTCATGAATTGCATAAATTCGTACATAATTATCACTGTTTTGGGCCAAATAGAGAGTATGGCTGGATTGTTAAGGATTTCTGTACTGATTAGCCGTTATTTGAGCGAGGGGTGATCATTAGTTTCTGAGTTAGACAAAAGTATTGGAAGGGGGGGGAGGGACTTTCTTTTGTGGTCGAGTGTATAGCAACCAAAAGCTCGGTTTGTTAAGTGTCGAATTGTTAACCCCCGGAATCCGCTCTTGCATGGCTCTCGCAAAAATAACATTTATTCAAAATGCGTTTTGTAGCCAAATTAGGGAATTCCAGGACGTGATGTTCCTTTCGGAACAAATAAGCCTATGCTATAGAGTGAAATTATACACTTTGATATTAAAAAAAAGTAAAAGCGACAAGCTGGTAATCAAGAAACTAAAACAGCGCGAGAAAAAAAATACTTTAAAATACAGAGAAAGGACAGTTCCCTATAGGATTTTTCTCCTTTTTTATTTTTTTAAAGAAAGCACTAATTTAGTTAATTCAGAAAGCACCATCGTATTTGACTATTCATACATTACATTCGCTTTCCATTAATCACATGATTAAGCTTGCTAGTAGTTCATTCGTCTTATTTAGCATTTGGATATTTGACAACCTTGAAATACTGAAATTTTTAGAGCAGGCTGTAGCATCTTCTGCAATTGTTTTTTCCCCTGTGTGTGTATACTGACTTTATTGAAGCAGATTTCTTCAGATAGTAAAGTTTTGCGTGATGTATTTGATTTCGTCCAATGTTATTCTGCATAAGCGCTGGTTTCATGATCATTCTTTTAAAAATAGATTTTAAATAGATTTATTAGATCATTATAAATGCATAATTTATAAGATCCGCGTAGTTCTTCAAAGGCTGATACAGTCAGTGCATTTGTACCATTATAATATGAGAAATATAATGAAATACACCATGAAACTCTAAAAACTATACATTTTAAACGCGTATATATAGGAATGATCAGAGATACTGCAATAATTCATGTTCTCAATAACATTTACGTAGATGACTTTTTAACAACCATTACTATAGGCCAATCTCGTTCGATCATTTCAGAAAACACTATTTCCAACAAAAACATTCAATGTTAAATGCACTTTATCATTAGAATTAGTATATATGCAAGATTTCTTATAAAGTTATGAAAAGAAACTATGAAAATAAACGCAAGCAAAAATCGCAAAACAACGGAGATGTTTTATATTGTTTGGAATCAATTGAGTTACCCACCAAAAATTGTGGCCCCATTTGTCGTAATGTGCAATTATTGGTTACTGATTTACCGGTGTCATGTGGAACTTGCACTCAACTGCAATGTGATCTGGACTATTAATCCCTCACACGTGACCAAGGGCGTCGCCATGATTTTTTTCTAGAGGAGGGCAAAGCACACCCCCCCCGAAATCCCTGTACTTTTTCAGCATGTTCTCGATTTATCATTTTTCGAGGATGGGCAAGGACATGTTGAACCCCAACCCATTAAATTAACAGCAAAATAACTTCGCACCTCTTTTCTTTCATTTTTTTTCTGTTTGTCCCTCCTTTTTCCCTTTTTTTTTGGTTTCTTTTCCCGGGGGCAAGCGCTCCACCCCTTGCCCCAGGCCCTCGCGACGCCCATGCACGTGACTATTGTAATTCGGTCCACTGAGGCATGCGCAATGCAACCAGGAATCCATATTCAAAGTCCAAATTCACCCAACACCCGGGGGGGGGGGTATTTACGCCCCTCCCCTCCCCCATATTGTAAATGAGCACGTTTTTTTTCCAAAGTGCCATTTTTTCAAGAGCGCCTTTTTTTTAGGTCGTGCAAACGTCTGCAATTTATTATTTTGCCTCTTTGAAAAGCGCCACGTCGTCCGGTAGTGCACATAATCCGCTTTTTACAGCACTCCATAGGAAGATGGTGTCCACCAGTGGCGTGGCCACGGGGGGGGGGGTTCCCACAGCCCCCCCCCCCCCATGAAACCTCGCCCCCCCCCCCCCCATGTAACCTTGTCGTCCCCCCCCCCCCCCCAGTCGCCCCCCCCCCCCTGAGATTTTGAGTTTCTAAAAAAGTTATCATTGATCTACATGACGCCCCCCCCCCCCATGAAATGTTCCAGCCCCCCAGCCCCCCCCCCCCCCCCCCCACTGAAAAATTCCTGGCTACGCCACTGGTGTCCACCCCCCCCCCCCTTTCCTCCCCCAACTCCAACGATCTACCTTTCAGCACTGATGAGGAGTGCCCTTTTTGTTATCTAACCCCCTCCCGATCCCCCTAAAAATGACCTTGTGTACGAACACCTCTGCTCAATCCTTTAAAAAACCTAAACCGTAGACCCGCTCGTGCCCCCGAATCAATTTGCTTGTTGTGGTGGTCTATTGTAGTCCAGGGCAGTTTTTTTTACACCCGAGGGTTAGGCCTGCGTCAAACGTCGTGCTTCTGACGTGTCGAATGTAATTCATTTCCGTGTGGCAAAAGCGCGACAGAACTTTTATTAATGATGATAAAAAAAGCGAGGGGCTCGGGTGTCACTTGCTACGCTTTAATGTGATTGCGACATCTGGGAATCCCCGCCCAGACGTCACCTGACGCAACGGGGAATTCCCTCGCACGCAATATTATTTTTCAGGGTGACCGTTTTAGCCGAATTTCGGCTAAATTTGACAGAATTGTTCGTAAAAGAACGAGTTTGACAGAAAATTTGACAGAATTGATTGTAGGGGGGGGCAGATTTCTGCAAAATGGTTATTTGACAGAAAAAAAACATAGCAAATTTGAAAAAAAATGGGTACATTTGTTTAAAAAAAAAAAACCTTCAATCGTTTAAAGCAATAACCTGTATAATGGGCCAGGTTGCCTGGTCTAGCTGCTGAGGTTCACTGGGAACCGTAGCCCGACTGCGTCTGGCCGTACAGTACTATCGCAAGCTCTGTAGTACGGCCAGACGCTGAATGCCTCCAAAAAGACTGAATTTTTTTGGCCGCTGATGTAGCGATTTTGCTACATCTTTTGATCGAGATTATCTTTTCATCCAGGACAAACATTTCCACAGTTAAGGTTCTTAGTCGTAGAGCAACTCATACCTTTTCGAAAAAACGTTCTTTGGTCTCAATATTTTCATCCATCTGGCCAAAAGACGACTTTCAGTCATCATCTTCCACAAATATCGTCCCGAAAATGCTCCCCCATGCGATTTCAAAATGGCGGCCGCGCTGTAACTCATGAATATGCATGAAGTTTGTGACGTACACCTCGTGTTTTTGGACGTGCGTGCGGCGGCGCCGTACGTACATATGTACATGTACATTACTTGTAGACAACAGCCCAGTACGTGCATGCACACGTACGTCCGCGCGGCGGTGTGCATGCACGTACTGGGCTGTTGTCTACAAGTAATGTACATGTACATATGTACGTACGGCGCCGCCGCACGCACTTCCAAAAACACGAGGTCATACGTCACAAACTTTTCATGCATATTCATGAGTTACAGCGCGGCCGCCATTTTGAAATCGCATGGGGGAGCATTTTCGGGACGATATTTGTGGAAGATGATGACTGAAAGTCGTCTTTTGGCCAGATGGATGAAAATATTGAGACCAAAGAACGTTTTTTCGAAAAGGTATGAGTTGCTCTACGACTAAGAACCTTAACTGTGGAAATTTTTGTCCTGGATGAAAAGATAATCTCGATCAAAAGATGTAGCAAAATCGCTACATCAGCGGCCAAAAAAATTCAGTCTTTTTGGAAGCATTCAGCGTCTGGCCGTACTACAGAGCTTGCGATAGTACTGTACGGCCAGACGCAGTCGGGCTATGGGAACCGGATCTTCGTCTTGAAGCAACCGCATTTTGCCTTATTTTTTTTCTCACATTCATGACATCTTTATGTGACGAGAGATTGTTTATAATATAATTTGAATCTTAATTAAGGCAATACTACAACATCTTCATGTGATTTTAGGTATTTATGGTGTAATTCGACTGATTCTAGGGAATTTGGCAGATTTTTGAAGTGCATTTAGCAGAATTTGGGCATGACCTTACGGTCACCCTGCTTATGATGCGTATGTAGAAAAAGATACGTACGTCACTACGTGTATTTAAAAAACAACATCATTGAACGGCATTGGGACATTTAAATCGAACTCAAGCATTTCCTTGTTGAATAAGGTCGTGAATTAAGTCTTCGAAGGTTGCTCTGGGTAGTAGGTAAGTGAAGACGCGGGAAGACGTCTATTTGTGCCACTGAACTTCTCCTTTTAGTTGCATGTCTGTGGTTCATGTTACATACCGACTGTATTTTTGTATTTTGTTTCTGTAGTATGGCTTACACGTTACACGTTGGTGCACTACTGTTAGCAATTGTGGCAATTCAACCTGCTTTGTACTTTAAAACTTTGCCCGCCCCCCAAAAAGTTTTTTTTCTCTCCTTGTCTCAAATACAGTATGTCCCCAAAAAGTGTCCATCTATTTTTTAAATAACTACAAAACCATGAAGTCAATTTTGAAAATGTTTGATTGTGCGTCTATTGAAGGCAACAAACTTGGTCAAAAATATGTTGTTGTGATCAATCCACAATTGTGCAGTGATGCGTGACTGAAATTCAATGAAACTCATACTGGGTTTGGGCCAAGGATTAAGGAGTATCTGCACAATATAAACAAATTTGACTTCATGGTTTTGTAGTTATTTCAAAAAATAGTCAGACGGACACTTTTTTGGACATTCTCTAGAATACGGTTTACATAAGGTGAGAGATGTTTTCTGGTGAATATTGAAGATTGATGTTTGCTCAAAATGATGTACATTTTGCATTCTGATTGTGTCAATTCTTTTCACTGAGCTAAAATTTGAAGAACTAGAAAAAAAGGTATTTAGAGATAGCAAATTACATATTTCAATGTCTGAAAGTTGTACTAAGACTATCACTATCAGAAATCCAAAATAAGCCACATAATCAACCAAATAATTTCATTTAAACAGAAAGGTTGGATTTTTTTTTACTTGATCAATTGCTACATTTCATTATCAATGAATTTTTATTGAGTGGGAGTCATAATATCAAATGGGAAGATGGAATTTTCACCTATAAAATATCCTGAGGGCACTGTTCGAATGGGATCTAACCATTAAAGGGAATATACATCATTTGCTTTTGCTGTAATTTTCAGAAATGGGTGGAATTGGGGGGTCGGAAATATAAAGCAAATATAGTTACACTAACTTTTTGGAGGTTTTGGGTTCGAAAATGCTATAAAAACCAAGAAAAACGATCATTTTCCTGTAGTCTGGTTCCCTGACTCCATATAAGAAGAAACAGAGCAGTTTACATACATTGGGGAATTGTAAGGTCAGGGAACCAGTTTAGCTGGCTCGTACCCGTTTATAGGTTTGTAATCGATTGCAAACAAGTGCAATGGTCAATTGGGGCCAGTATTTGATAAAAAGCCAGTTGTTTCCAACGCTGATCGGCCGATCAGCGTTGGAAATTGATACAAAAATACCACTTTTCTTGAAAATGACAGTATACCAGGTGCCATAATTTTACAGGATGCTTTAGACTGTCATTTACCAACATCCTGTTAAGGTATTTCGCAAAAACTTGATAGTTTTATTTTTCGTTGTTTGCAAATGTTGTATATTCCCTTTAACAAAGAGGAGCAAGGGGACATGCCTCTCCCAAGTTCCATAGCCATGGGGGAGATGGGGGGGGGGGGGGGGGCAAGTGCCCCCATAAAAATTGCGGATATTACAGTTTGAAGAGATAATTAATTTTTATTAATTATTTTGTGGGGTTTTTGTTGGTTTTTGTTTAGTACTTAAATCAGAAGAGGAGTGTAGACAACTCATCTGAAATAAATTTTATAGACCTTATTATCGCGGAAGCCATTTTTGATAGTGGCCACTTAATGTATTTTATAAATTGTAACTTGTTGAATGGGATGGTACCAGACTATTTATGCGTTCCAAGACTCACTTTCAATTTTGTTTTATGTGGTTTAAAACATTACAGTATGTTTAATCATAAATGTTTAATTATTTGTCTGAGCAGACTGATATTAATTTGTAATTTACTTTATTTCATTGCATTCATTTCTATATTTGCAAGTTCCAAAACTGAAGATTTTACCTCGCTTTCAATTTAATATGGCCGACACGTCAATAAAGCCTATTGCCCTTCCCCCAACAGATTTGTGAAATATAAAATTTATAGTAGGTAAGAAACAGGGGAAAAGAAATTATGTCCACCCACCCCCTTTAAAGTAGCAGCGGCCCGTCAGCCACCGGAAAATTTGGTTCGGGATCGACCCCCAATTAAATGCTGGTGCCCCCGCCCCCAATTATTTCCTCAAGCACGGAACTTGGAGAAGAAAATAAGAATCAAGCTAAAAAAGAGTGATCAAACCCACTGAGTGCCTCACTGCATCCATAAGTAAGAGAATGATCCCAAATAGGCCTAAGACGTCACGCTTTGTTTACATGTGCACTTTCCTATTTAGAGTAAGGTGGACAGTAATATAACCTGACACCTGACATTTCCACCAGAGCTATATATAGCCCGCACAATGACGTAACCGTGATTTACCACTTGCATGAGGCTGCGATTGCGCCATTCATGCTGGGAATTCCCCGTACATAATGATGTGGGAAATCCCCTTTCCACGCAATGTACGTGTGGCGTATGTGAAATTAACCGTGCGTACAGAAAACACCCATTGTCAACAGACATTTCGTCATTGGTGTTCTGGCATAGTCGATCGTCGGGGATTTAAATCGAATCGGAACAGTTTTCTAAGGGATATGAGGTCGTGAATTAGAGTCTTCGGGGTGTTTCAGTGAAGGTGGTAAGTTTCAGGGCATACATTTGATGTGTTAATCGAACTTTGCATCAAGATTGAGACTTTGTTTTTCCTGATATGTGGGAATCGAGTCAAGTTTGTTGTGTAGCATGAACAACACGTATAGGCCGATGTGCATTGAAATATGTTAATAAATATCCCCTTGCTTTTACTTGTAAACTAACTGTACATCTATATTTGTAATTGTTTTTTTCTCCCACGTTAATTGCTTCAAACATAACAGGGGCCCAATAAGCAAAGGGGAGAGTAAGGCCAAAAAAAATTAAGTCTCCGGTTTCTGGTATGGAGCTTGCCCAAAAAGTGGTGCGGCGACGCGGCTTTTTTTTTTTTTACCCGATTTTTTTGCTTATAATGTCGGCTGATGACTGCAAATGGTGCCCGACTAAACTTTAGCGCAATTATATGGGAGTCCAGAGAGGCCACATAAAGCTTATTCTCGATCGTCACCCCATCTAAAAACACGTTAAAATCGTGCAGCAGCAGAATTCAAGTCATAATAACTTTTTCATTTTGCCTACGCGCATGGCTACGGCGACGCGCGCGCATACCAGAAACCGGAGACTTTTTTTGTTGGCCTAAGAGGGGTGTTGGCTGAATTTTGGGAAGGGTGCTCCAGTGACATGTCCAGCAAGGGGGATGGTTGACATTTTAACACTTGTTTTTATTTCTAAAGGTACCAGTAATAGCAGGCACGGTTCTACGGGGGGGGGGGGGGGGGGGGGGGGGGGGGGTGGCTAGGGGGGGCTGTAGCCCCCAAAAATAAATTCCGTAAAAAAAAAATTGCATTAGCAAAAAGAAGGATTTTGTTGACATGCGAACGGTCTGCCCCTAAAGAAGAAATAGCCGTGACAAGGGTGCATTAGTTAATATAGTGTGAATGATTTTAGGATTTTATAGGCGCTCCCCATTGAAAATATGGCATGAGCCCTCCCCCCCCCCCCCCCACCCACCTATTGATTTTTGGAGGCCTAAGTGTCTGGAAAAAATAACCGGTCTACATTTCAGCACGCCTCCCTAAAAAAAATTCTGGATCCACCGTGCTAGCCCCCCAAAAATATTGGTTCTAGAACCGCGCCTGAGTAATAGAAGCGCCAGACCCTCACAACTTGTACTAGCAGTAATCCCTCCCCCCCCCACACCTTTATTTTTCAATTTCGTTTTCTGAATGAAAAAATATCAAGGCTGTTTTTGGAAAAATTTGGAGGGATTACTTCTAGCTTCTTGGCACTTGTCTGAACGTTTGACTAAATTTGACAGAAACATTTGAAGATGAATTTTTGGGCCCAATTTTGTATTTTGTTGGTGAAAATGTAAGGAGGAAAAGTCTTGTTGTTGTTTTCTTATTTGGGGAGGGGGGGGGGGCTTTGGTTAAAACCTTCAAGCATTGGGCCCCCCCCCCCCCTCATTGGGGCACTCAATGGGTGTTAACATACAAAGCTCACTAACTTTGTTATACTCCCAAATTTGTGAAGGGAGAGGGAGAAGGGGGAGTGTGGGAGTGCACAGACCTCTTGTGGGGGGGGGGGGGGGGAACACCCCTTTAGTGGGGGATGGGGCATAGAACTCAAGTTGCAGTGAACATTGCAAAAAGAAACAACACATAACAAAACAAAAACAATAACAGCAGGGTTAGCGTACATTCAAAAGCTATAACAGTGACCAGCATTTTAGACCAGCATCTGCTTTCTAATTCATTACACATGAGTCATTGTTATCATCATTTTATTTATTTATTTTTTAATATTTGTCAGGCAGAAATCACATTGCTTGATTTGCATGCCCCTCTTCCCACTCCTCTACACTACGCCCAATCGCCCAATTTTCCAAGATGCCGAGCAAGATGGGGAGCAATCAGACCACCGAGGGTGGACCATCGGGCTCAGCCGCGTCCAACGAGGTCCCAACATCGGCACCAACAGAAGATGGAACAGTTACCATCAACGACCGTTCATCAAGACAAACGGACTCACCACCGGGGATGGCTAATAGAAATGATGAGGCAGATGCTCCTTCAACAGAGGTGAGAATAATTATTTTACGCAATGTTTTAGGGCGATCAATTCCATTTAGTCAGATTTAGGCTGTCACTTAATTCGTTTCTTGGAACAAAAATCATCTGGCAGACCAGTTATTTAACAAAACAAAAATTGAAAACTTTAAATACACCACACTGATTCTTAACTTTGTTGTGCTTGTCAGGTGGATGAGACAGACTCAACAGTCAATCAACCGTTGCGCAGCAATGACAGTAAGTAATCATTTCTACAAGTCTTTATCAAAAGAAGACGTAGTGCCCACGTCTGTATGTTCATTACTAAGCATGCGTTCAAATTCTCAGAAAAGACTGGTCTTGATACCTCAGCAAAATTCAACTCTTTTTTAACCAGTTCGTGTTGGATGATACATACTCGCAATAAGGTTTTTCCGGTATTCGGAGCGGATGCAGATAAACATGCAACGTGCGAGGCTTGAAATATCTGTCTGCGACCCGCTCGCAGCAAGTGAGGCCAGAAATATAAGGGTGTGCTACACGCAGATGATGGCCTGAACCCGTCTAGCATTGAGTTAAATTTGTGAAAAACAATCCCGCGCCTGGGTCCGGTTATTATAATATAATGCCGGCTCAAAATGTTTAAAATTAAGGCAAGGTGTTAAAGTTCTATAACTTCAGAAAGCTTTTCGTGGCTTGACTGGGTTTTTTTAATTGCTCTGGTTATTGATCTTTTTTTTTAAATTTCATTGTTCGTCGCTGTATGGAGATTATCTTTGAAAAAGGAATTTATTTCTCAAAAATCAATCAATACACTGATCCCGTAAACCCAGCCTCATGGCAATTTGACCAATCAAAACCATAGTTAATTATAAAATATTGGAAGGCTTTGAGGTGGATACAAAAATATACTGCACGAGCTATGACAATATTGTACGAGTCAAAGATGAGTGCAATATTGTCATAGCGAGTGCAATATATTCTTGTATCCCCTGGAAAAAGCCATCCAATTTTATTATTATTTATATCAGGCTGACTTGATTCGCAAAAAATACAATTCAAGGCACTGTCATTTTCTTCAATTTCGTCAAACTATAAGGAGCTGCATGCCATTGTGCTTATTGACATCCGTGCGCGTATACCTGGCCTGCTGCTTGCTGCGTGGGCATCCATGTTCGACGGTACCGCGCACTACGCTCTGATGAGTGGTTGACAACTGTAAGTTTCTACGCTCTTGATCTTGCGGGAACCAGCCAAAAAGCCTGGATGAGGGTGCCCCGGACAATATCAAAAGTAATATTGTCCGCAACCCGGGTATATTTACTGACAATATTGCTGTCATCTGGGCAAGTTTTACAAAAGCATTCAATACGCTGATTTATTTTGACCACTGGAAGCCTGATATAAATATTTATGTCTGATATGCATGCACATTCACTCGATGCGTGCAGCTGGAACATGCTGTGTGGCATTTTGAATGTGCATGTGTTGTTTCTCACGTGCGAAGGTGGTTGGGCTTTGATCGATCAATGAATTCAATTCAATTCAATTCAATTCAAAATACTTTATTTATCCTTAAAAAGGCAATTGCATATGGTTGGACAGCTCATTAAAAACACTAAGTAGATTACAAGTCAAGTAAATGTATAAAATTTAAAACAATCACAAACAACATGTACTTCTCGATTAAAATCGGTGTAAAACTTCTCTAAAAACCTAATACCTTATACTATATATAAAAATAATGAGGCGATGAATGTACACATGACGACATCAAATGTAAAATGGCAAGTAAAAAATTAAAATTTAAAGTAAAATGATGGACCTTTAAAATCCAGATATCCATTATTTTATGGTCTAATGGCCACTGGAGTATTGAATGAAGACATCAGCAAGAGATATGTTTATTTTCAAAAATGTATTTGAAATTTGTTTCTTGATAACAGTTCATCCAGCCGTGCCTACCAGCAACCAATTCAGTGCCTTGTCGGAGGACGTTTCCTCCGAAGAGCCTTCTTCAACGCAAAATGCTCCCAGGCCGCTGCAGTCACAGCCCTGCCAGCCACGTGCACAACGCAACAGCCCAGCATCACAGAGGGTAGGAAGTAGAAGCCGGACGTTTTCCAACAGGGGCAACGGTGAAACTGCGACCTCGTCTGTGACGCCCCCATATTTGTCATATGAAAGCCGCCATTTTTTGGAAACATTCAATTTAAGGTGTGCTTAAGTTTTTTTTCTTTTTCTGTTTTCCACATCCAAACATATGAAATATAGACATCAGTCCCTAGAGTTATATTAAATTACTGGAGAGCTAGCTTGACTTACCACAGCCTTATTTTATCAATACTTTCAGTTTAAATGGTTGATTGGCTTGCAGAGAAATCAAAGTTCCTGATTTTCCTCTGTGCATGTCCGGACAAACACATGCAACAGCTAGCTGTGAGTGGATCTGTATATCAGTCTGACTGGGCCTGGGCCGATTGTGCACAATGAACCATTTAATTGCCGTATGGCCGTATTCGGAAGTACAAGTACTCGCACTCGAACGTACAAGTACTCGTACTCGGAGACCTGTACTTGTACTCGGAGGTACAAGTACTCGTACTAGGCAATACTCGGTACTTGGCAAAAAGTACTCAACTACAACACTGAGTATTTCTGTTTCTTTGAATGTGTGATAGGTTGGCCTGCTGGAATTGCTATAGACATCAGCCCAGAGGGAGGCATTCATGCCAGGGAGATTTGCTTCTTTGTTACCTTCAAAGGAATAAGGTCAGATGAAAGAGTTCCTTTAAAAAATATAGGTAGTTTCAGTCAGGAGCAGATCCTGCACCAAATTTTTCAAAACATTTTATTATTATTTTTTTTTGGAGGGGGGGCCATTAGAAGGCTTGAGTATTTTATTTTCAGAAGGGTGAGGGAATGATGCGTAAGTATCTTGCACTATTTGCAGGATTATGTGTAGGTGATGGCTTGCGAGGAAGATACGTAACATTTTAATTTGTTTCCTGAATAAGACAAAAAGGTGTCTAATTCTCTCCTCCGACTAAATAGTAATGTTTTGTTTGGTAGGGGCCATAGGCCCCCCCCCCTCCGCCAATGGTTATACAGTTGGCCTTTTAAAATTAACATGGAAAAGCTTAAGGTACACAATAATGCAAAGTTGGTAGTTTTCTGCAATTTATTTTGTACACTATCTGCATTGCAGTTCATCAGGAGTCACATCAATAGGCCAAATCATTTGCCATGTACACCACCAAAGTCGCAAGTAGGATTTAAACGGTATTTACAAGGAAACATTTTTAAACAGTCTTATACAAGGAAACATCTTTGTCATGGCTCATGTGAATCATCAGGCAATTGAAACTTGATTGATTATGTGAGGACCTGACCATAACTTGCACATCATTAGGAGATGACGTTCAAAATCTTCTGTAGTAGACCTAGGACATAATGACTCTCGTTTTGTTTACATGTGCACTTTCCTATTGAAGCCAGGTGGGGAGAAGCCAGCCAGTCGTCGCACATGTAAACAAAGCATGATGTCATTATGTCTGAGATCTATTTTATTCTCGGACGTTTCTTGTAACTCTGTGAAAACTGTAGAAGCTAGGGTACCATGGTCATAGAGATTTGATACTTATCTGAAACTCAACTTTGTTGCAAAAACATCTTGGTTTTGTGCAGGTTTGGGGTGTCATCCGTCAGAGAACTAATCCATACTATCAAGGATTCTACAAGATGTGCAAGAGTATCGAAACTACAAACCATTGTTTAAAGAGAGAACTTTGTTCGTACTGTCACAGTGAAGAAGAACAGAACATATGGAATGCTGAACGAGGTGGACGGTTTGCTCGAAGAGAGATTTGCAGGTACCTGCGCCATTCCCAGAATCTTCCACATAATCTTCCAAGGCAGCTACCACAACCTTCCACTAATGAGGGATTTCAAATTGTCCGAAATAAAAAGCGAAAGTGTTCGGAATCAGCTAGCGTTGACAGTCAAGATGCTCCCCAAAGCAATGACTCTCAAACAAGAAACAAGAAACAAACTGTCAGCCAATTTGCAGAACGCAAGAGATCAGCGATCATCACTGACAAAGACAGGAAAGCCTACAGAGATTTGATGTCAAAGGTCGGGGGCCGTTTCTTGAATCTTTGCGAGAAGTGCTTTGATAGTTCCCCTCCGGTCATGAGTGAAAGATCTGCAGAAGGGAAACACTGCAACGGCGAAGAGAAGCATCCCTGGAGCGAGGTAATGGTGCACGCTCTGATTACAAAGGGAGAACAGCAGTACCTGAAGATACGGACAGGATCACATCGCGGTGCCCGTCTTTGCCGTCACATCGTAAAACGCTTTGGATGCTGGCTGGGTGACTCGTGCAGTTATGCCCACAATGAGGTACATAACTTTTCCTTTAAATAATAAGCAGATGAATTGTGCCTATTTGCTCATATTACGTTAACACAATTGAAAGAAAAATGTACTCGGCCTAATATCAAAAGTCAATATTTGTGATATGTTCTCAAGGTTTTCTCCAACACTCAACTCTCTGCTCGAGCATATAGGCTGCATTACAAATAACCTGTTGATTTCTTTGTTGGCTCATACAGTGGCCTGTACATGTTACAGTTTGAGAAAACATGGATGTACAATTTTCAGGCTCCATTGCTAATTAATGCACGTAAAAAGTGTGCCCGCCTGCATACTTTTTTGTTGAAACCACATGCAATGTTGATTTACTTTGGCAAAATACCCTCTCAAGAAGGGTAATTTCACAGGGTATTTGCCTGCCGGCCCTTTCTTCAATTTGAGCAAAGTTTCAAACTAAATATTAGAAGGTACTTTTCTGGGTAGTTGCAAATAATCCTACGTGGCTTTTAATTCTTCTGTTTGGAATCATACAGGTTGAAATTGATGTGTGGAAATGCCCTGTCAGGCAAGACGTGATCGTGAAACTCGGCGCACCAGCATTCGCCCACAGAATACAGTATGCTGAAGAAGATCAAGCACACGAATCATCACGTCAAGTTGTTTTATACTCAGAAAGGACAAAAGTGTGGCGTATTGCTCAAGGGCGCCATCCCTCTCTCAAAAGACAGACCTTACCCGTTCTTTGTAGAAAGCGGGATCGTTGTGACAACGATTCCTGCACACATCCACACTTTCCCGAAGAAGTTGAGCTGTGGACTTACATGGGAAAGCACAACCGTGAGTTTGGGTTGACGATTTTTATGAGAAAAAATGTCACAAGTAAAGACTATTAAAGTATAACATTTAGCACACCGGCCTCCCCCCACATTGGCAGTTCTTGAATGTGTTGGATTGGTATTTCTGGCATGGCTTTGCCGGTGAATATTTGACCATGAACCTGTTCCGAATAGTTTTTCTCTCTCGTATCAGCACTGCATGCACTGATCTTTATAGAAATTTTTACCATGACGAATGTTCGCCTTGGCCTCGTTTACATTACAGACCTATAGCAATTTTGGAATTTCCTTCCCTTTAAAAAAAAAATCCTCGACCTGTGCCACAAATCAGACACAGAAGAAGGAATATTCTGCAACAGGCCTTGATTTTAAACAATAAAGGAAGAAAACTTGTGCTTTAGGAAAAACAGGGGAATTTTGTATTTTTGTTGAATCCATGCATGGCTGTGTCTCGAATTCAGGTCGTCGGGCCCGTGGACTAACACTTTATCCATTGAGCGACTCATTAGCTTGGGTTAAGAGGGTAATTTATTATCTTGTATACGTACCTTCATGATGTGCATATGCAGAGGAAGTGCCAGCACAATAGCAGAAAGGACCGGTTCATGGTACTTTAAACACTTTGAAAATCTAGTTAGATAAAATGAAATAGGAAAAGTGAATGAAACTTGAAACTTAAGGTGGTTTATTGTCAAATTGCTTATACCTTTACATAAATGAAAGACAAGCCTCATGAAGTATATTGCACCTAATTAGCAAAAGTCAAATGAAAGGATACAGGAATTAAAATCTTTCAAGTATTGGGAGTATTTTCTAAATATTTTATTTTCTTTGGGTATGCAGTCGGGACATTGGAGGAAGTCATGTCCATCACATCCAAGATTCAGCCGTACTGCTGCTCCTATTGCAGTCAGCACTTCGAGCAAATGGTTGAGCTGAAACAGCATCTGCAAACTGTCGGCCACAGGGCAAGGGTCGATTCTGACAGAGAGAAAGATTGGAAGCATCGCAAACCCCCCTGGAATGTTGAGGATGGAAACTATCGGCTATGTGAAGTGTAAGTACATGTTGATTTACTTCCAACAGGCCCGTTTAGGTCATATTTCAACTAAATTTGAAAATATAAAAACTTTGTAAAATATCTCTGACTTCACAGCAAGTTAGCAGTTTTTCAATGTGATAGATGTGTGAGGTATACTGTAAAGTGCAGCTGGGACATGATTTAATTGGGGGATTTTCCATGAGTGTTTGGACATTAAGTATCATGAGTAGTTGATTTACGCATGGTCCTGCCGCGGCCAGGGCCAGCCACATTTTTTGGGAGCCTCCAACGAAATACTTAATCCATGGGGAAAAACTTGCTATAATGTGAAGTTATGGTTTCCTCAATTAATTTCAATTCATAATGATTAAGGGAATAAATATTTCAGATGTCGGGTTTCAACAAGTATGTTTAAAACCAGCTAGGGGCCTGGTTGCTGATAATGGCCCAGGCCAAAGGTGAGGGCCATTATCAGTGTCAATTAAGGGCCCTATATAGCCGGTTTTCGTACTTGTTTAATACTGGCCAAACACATTTATTCCCACTCATAAATACCTTTTGGTCAAAAAGTCAAAACAAGTCAAGAATTCATAAAATGTCAACAATGTTGTTCAACGTTTTGGGGGCCAGTCTGCTCGCAAAGCAGATCTGTTTGTGTCCAAATATTCATAAAAAAAAAATTGAATTTGTTGAAGAGTGCGGAGAACACGGCTTTAACAAATAAGTATGGTTTTGGTTTGTCCTAGGGTTGAGGGTGGCACGTGTTTGTTCAGCAGTACTACCCCCGAGAACAACAGCTGCACCAAGGCCCACAGTCGCGAAGAGCTGGACGAATGGAAAGAGCGCCACCAGTATCGTATGGCCAAGATCAAGACAGCCAGGGACAGGAAGCTTCATTCTTACATGGGCGACTTGCTGGCGATGCACGAAGCTGGAATGGATGTGGTAGGTTTGCTGACAGGCCCCAGGCCAGGGGTAGAGGTGGGGTTTGGGGTTAGAACAAGCGTTCATCCCAGAATCAAAATTAGAAGCCTTATAGACATGAATATTTGATTCTAAAAGTCAATCACTCCATCAACAAGTTTGGCTAAACACAAAGTGTCTAGAGTCCAAACGTTTCAGGGGCTCTTGATTTGGCCCCGAACCCCACGCCATTATGGTTTCGCACTTTGCACTGCATCAGTTCTGATCAAAGTACTAAGTACCCCACTTTTGAGAAGTGATTGATGCCCTTGCACCTAACATTCTTTGGTAGGATAAGCTGCAATTTGTATAAGGGATGAATGCAAAATTGAACATGCAGTATCTTGACGTTGAATCCCGAGGTACCCTATAAAACCCTGTCAAACCTCGTAAATCCTCAAAGAAAACTTCAGGTAATCCTCAAGTTATAACTTCGCATTTTCCCCCAAGTATAATAGTAAGACAACAGCAAAAGGATGTCAGAAGTACCGGTGTCTTTTTTTGCCCTTTTTTTTTTTTAAATCAGTTTGAAGACAGACTACCCGATGTTGATGTAGACTGCTCGGAGGAGTTGAACAAGCATCTTGAAATTGACAGCACTCCTGGATCTCGTGTACATACCTTCAGATGGGAGTTCAGCATCAAATCCAAATATGAGGTTTGTTTTATATTTGTACTTGATCGTGAAAAAAACTACTTATCCCGAGGGTGTGTACTATGATCTGCTGAATTATAACAGAAAGTAAAATGCAAATTTTGTACACAAAGAGGTTGATCTTTACAAACGTATTCTCTACAGCCAGGGGCGTAAATCCCTGGGGGACGGGGGAGGGGGCATATCCCCCCACTTCTTGACCGGGGCGGGGGAGGGAGGGAGAGAGGGATGATCCAATGGCCCATCCCTCTCTCCCTCCCTCCCCCGCCCCGGACAAGAAGTGGGGGGATATGCCCCCTCCCCGTCCCCCAGGGATTTACGCCCCTGGCTGTAGAGAATACGTTTGTAAAGATCAACCTCTTTGTGTTTGGACTTATGGACCTAATAGCACTGAAAAATGGGGAGCAAATGCAAAAGCTGTAAATGCACCGTTTTGATGCAAGGTTGAGGTGCATTGGGGCCCAAATATTGTGAAGCGTTTTGATACCTTTGATATAAAGTACTATTTAAGCACCACCTTATTATATTATAATATATAATGTGGTGTTCAGTCCCCTAAGTATATGATTTGATGAGGCTTTACAAACAATCAGCTTTGTAAAGAAAGTACAAGACAGACACTTCAATTTGTTTTTGTTTGATGTTAACCCATCAGAAACCTCTGAAGGAAGTTGGCTTGCTTTTCCCTGACCCCCACGTCAGTTTCTACCTGTCCAAAAATGCCATGGACCATGACAAGCTGCAGGTTTGCCCAGGCAGTCTCCTGGCTGATGATGGAAGCAGTGGCAGATACCGAGTTCAAGTCGTCTTCACAACGCAGATGTTGGGAACTTTCAGCCAGTCGGTGGTGTTCAACTTTGGCGGTGAGCCGGTGCTGTACCGAAGACTGCAGGTTTGTGCCTCCAAATGAATCTTTTTCTAACCGAAATTTCCTTTAACAGCTGTAGCCCGTAACATCAAAGACTAACTTTCTAGCATCGAATCTTCATTTTTGATATGAAACAAATTGGTCCTGAAAAGCGAAGTGAATTGTTTTTTTTTCATAAGTTTGAGCAAATCGAAAAATACAACTTTACGCAATCTTTTACAATTCAAAGAGGAAAAGAAAGCAAGACAGCAGCCCCCCCCCTCAAAATATTAAGAACCAGCGGCCGTATTCACAAAACTCAAACTTAAGAGATAACTTAAGCCAGACTTAAATCTTAGCACCCTACTAACTTAAGTGGGACGCTTAATATGGTATTCACGAAAGATCTAAGCACCCCAATTATATTAGTGCTCAACTTAACTTAAGTGTTCAAAACAGTCACTCTTGCTCAATGCACAAAATATGTACGTCATAAACGTTCCTACGCAGCAGCAGTTCAATCAATAATGTGCGTGCTTCCTTAACATTATCATGCGTGCGCGTATTCTGCGACGCAGTTTCCAAGCTCAATTTAATACACAAAAACTTATCTGCGTCACGTGCGCGTCCACCTAGTTCGTCATGCACATCGTATGCTCTCAGTGCATGTCGTTATTTACCATAGTTTTTACGGTCGTTTGAACAACTAAACTACAAGTGAATTGTTCATTTTATTTACTATCGAGTATGAAACAATTTGTCATGATGATTTATGTCATACGCGCTGGAAGGTAAGACAGTTAATTTAAATTAATAGCCTTTCGGCAGTCACGTGGTACATTGGTTTCGTCAATCGTACCCGTGCCGCCCACATAAAAATCAACAAATCGTTCGAAAATGACTGTCGGAATGTCGACGAACTACAATCTTAGGGTTGTCACACATTATTTTCAACTTGGCTTTCCTTTTACAATCATTCATTATTGACGATATTTCCCTCTACCCCTAGAAAGTCCAATTTTGTGCCTAAAAATACCAACCAACGGAAAGGAATAAAGCCGCCATGACACCCTAGTGCCCCACTTAACTTGACTTAAGACAGGTCCGACCACACTTAGATTTAAGTCATGAAAATAAGTGGGGCGCTTAGTGAAAATGCTTTGTGAATACTGCTTAAATTGTAAAACCAGTCTAAGTCGCATATTTAAGTGGGGTGCTTGCTTTTTTATGACTTAAGTCGTTTTGTGAATACGGCCCCAGGTTTAAGATTCTTACTCATGCAATGGAATGTAGGTTGATGTTGGAGCTGGAGACTTGCAGATCCCTGACGTGCCAGACAGAGTGGTTCTTGAACCCTGGAACAGCAGCAACAGCCATATTGTCAAGTTCACAGATGCTGCAGGCACAGCTACCATCTCACAAGCAGAACAGGAGCTGATGGACCGACTGCTTAAGCAGTACCCTCCACCAACATTGCAGAACAGACGCCATGACAGCAGCATCTCAGAAACACTCACCCGAGACAACTACCGACAAGTCATGCACAGGGTGCTGTACATAGAGGAGAAGGAATGCAACAAGAAGATTTACAGGTCAGAAAATACAGAGAGTGATGTTTCACTATCTAGACAACTGAAAATTCACTCCGTCCAACTGAAACTAGGGACGGGACAATTTAAGAGTGAAATTCATTCAGTCAAAACGAGTTTGTATAGGACTGTTCGTTTAAGAGCATTTCAATCTAAAATTAGAGTGATTTTGGACCTTTTTTAAACTAACAAAGCAAATCATCAAGTCATGAAACTTTTGTCTCCATGAACTCAAAATGTTGTCTCATTCTAACTTTGGCACAATTGACCACAAATGGTTTTTCACATTTGTGTGATGAACTGGCCTATACGTTAAATTTGCAATTCTCTTTTTGGCAATCCTTTTTCAAAGTTTGAAATATTGTCCTTTTGGAAATATTGTCCTAGATTTGCAACATCCAGCATCCTCAAGGTTAGCTCCAATCTGCATCTTCCAGATGGCATGCATTGTGCCTTAGAAGGGCACATGTTTGCCAGCATCGACCTCCAGCAGGCTCTGATGGATGACTCCACGACAAGTCAGATTATCAGCAAGAGTGTTCAGAACATACTGCTCAAGTTCGGTTCCTCAAACAAGGTAAACGGATAAAACCCTTAAAAATTGCTTTAACTGTAATAAATCAATTAAAAAAGGTCATCCTTCCCCTGGCAAATTAAAATAAAAATAGAGTAGTGAGGATTTGTGCTAATAAAATGTGGAAGACTCTCTTTTGAGAAGATGTGTGCTTCTCAAAAGAACCGGATGGTTGTGAAACTTGACATTTCGATCACTACGCTCTGATCGCTTCAGGAGAAAATATGAAAAGAAAAAAAGAATCCTGTCATAGATCGAGCAATTTAACCCGTTCAGGCCGGGATTTTTTTGACAGGAACGGAACGAGACGTGGAATTACTTTGCACTTGACCTCAAGCCAGGTGGGTTGAAGCCATCACCCTCGGGCAGCACACTCACGTTTCTGGCCTCGCTCGCTGCGTGAACTCTGGCATGAACTGGTTAATTAAGTCTCTTAATAGAAGTTGAATCAAATTGCAATAAAATTGTCTTTATTTGAGTATGATTACTTTTCGAATACCTCGTATTTGGATTTTTTAATGACCAATGAGCAGTATTCCATGTGTAGCAAGATTGGCAAAGAATAAGTCTTTGAATTGTTTTTGGCATTAGGCAAAAAAATATGTCTTTCACTGGGGGATCCAGTTGGGTTACCGCTTGGAGGGACTGAAAGGGCTCTCACTATTTGAGAACATTGCGGTCAGAGCCGGCATGGCCAGTGGGAGGGGGGGGTGCGGTGCCCCCTCTGCACCTCCCTCCCCCCCCCCAGGTTTGCACAAGAAAAATTGTCAGCGAATTTGCTTGAGAGCAAATATTTTTTATTTGATAGGTATATGAAGCAGCCATTCTTCCAAATCAGACATTTGGACGTGGATCCCAGACTACCGTCCATGTAAAGCTGAGCAGACAGTGTGTCAGAGATCAGGGGCTCCTGACTGACGGGTCTGAGAAAGATGTCACAGTTCAGCTGCAGCTGGACAGGACGCAGTTTTGCTTTATGCATTTCGCTGTCGACCAACTGCAAAATATGGACATGGTGTTGCCAGATCCAAACAAGCCACAGCGGTAAGTAGAAGAAATGCAATTTGTTTTGTGCATCTTGGCATTTTTCTGATGATTTTGCATTTTTGGCATTCATAAATAGGTGCCTTATTCCCAGATGAATGAAATCCACTCATATCACAGACACGCAATTTCTGGCAGGAATAGAGCGTAAAGTTGACCTGAAAACTTGCAAAAAGTTTACAAGAATGTAGCACATCCGGGTACTTATATGTCAATTTTTGGGGGGATTTTTGTGTGTCCTGATTGGGCCCTTCCAATCAAAAGCAACAAACGAAAAGAAAGCATAACAGTTTACAACCTGTCAAACAATTGCGTATTGATGATTGTTATAACATTAATAAGGTTGATCCCAACTTCTGTTGAATCGATCGTGCAGATAACAGTTAGGTACATTCAAACACAGGTCAGCTGTGTCTACACTGACTAGTGCATGTATACTGAGTTGACTAGTAAATCCAATATTGGGTTTTTCCCTTGTGAGTGGAGGTGTTCGTTGATTCTCTTCTGTGCCACAAGGGTTTTTCTCTGGCTTCTCCAGTTTTCCACCCTCCGCATAAAAACAAAAACTTTCAATCTGGCTGATGTGTTCCATGGTCATACATGGGTCGTCTGGTAGCTGCCCATTAAGGCACCTTTACATATTCTGTCGGTTTTAGACTAGGTAATGTAGCTGCGGCCTTCACAATTCAGCCTCTACTGCGAGTAAGGACGATTAGCCACCCAAATTCACTATTTAGTTGTTTAGAAATTACCATATGGGCCTTTAATTGTTTTTCGATTGTTTTAGGCTGCCAGATCATTGCCGTCCATGGACTAACGAGGGGGCAAACCCAAAACAGGAAGAAATTGTGGACTTCATCAGTAACTCCGGTGGTCCGGAAGCCCCTCCGATGCCCGGCGTGGGACCTGTGCTCGTCTGCGGACCCTTTGGAACTGGGAAGACATTCACGCTGGCGACAGCCGTGAAGGAGACCTTGGACAAGCGGCCGCAGTGCAAAGTGCTGATTTGCACTCACTCAAACAGGTAAAACTTTTTCAAAATCAATATTGTTTAATTTTTTGTAGCAAGACTACACAGCAAAAATACATGATCTTTAAACGCTCAACAGTGTCAATAATATATGAGGCTAAACATGCTGTAATATAGCCAAAGTTTCATATAAAACTGTTAAACCACAATCTATGAAATTGATTAAGTTGATTTTCCGTTTGAATTATATTTTGAAATGATCACATCCAATTGTTCATGGTGTTTACTAAGTGAGTTGCAGAATTTTTTGTTTCCAGTAAATGTTTATTAGTTTAGCTTAGGAAGACATTATACTCACGTGTATATAGTTCAGGGGGTTTTTTTTGGGGGGGGGGGGGAGCACAGCCGGTGTGTTATTTTGTAATTGCAACATTTCACTGTAAGCTGGCTTACATTCACTGAATGCTCTTCATGTTGTCTGCAACTCTTTGAAAAATATATTTATACTAGAGTGACACCATTATTGTCTCTTGCAGTGCTGCAGATTGGTACATCACCAGCTACCTCCACAGTTTTGTGCAGGCAACTGGTGGGAAGATGATCCGCGTCTATGCCACTTACCGTAACATCGGATCCATCGAGAAAGACGTCCGCCCCTACCTCCTCAAGGATGAAGCGGGCAACATTAGGCTCCCTGTGGAAGAGGATGTAAGAACCTCGCAAATTGTCGTGACAACACTCACCACGGCAGTTCACCTGGTCAAGGAGGACCTGCGAGGTTGCTTCAGTCACATCTTGATCGACGAGGCTGGCCAGGTTTTGGAGGCAGAGGCACTGATGCCCCTCACCATGGCAACCAAAGACACGTGTGTTGTCTTGGCTGGGGACCACATTCAGATGTGTCCCAAGGTTAACAGACGTTTTTTTGTTGAGCAGAAATTTCTGTATTTCATTACATCAGTTCACATATTTTTTTGCAAAAATATGCCAATCCTGGATAACTGTGCAGAAATGTCCCATGAAGTTAATTCAGGAGGGATTGATAAATAAGGCCGTAAAAGACATTGCAAAGTACCACATGACCATCCGATTTCCCCGTGATTGGTCACCTGTGCAGGAAGGTTAAGATTGTTTACGACAAAATCTAGGGGATGATCTAATTAGTGCAAGCGCCCCCCCCCCCTTTGCGCCCCCCCCCCCCCTTTGCGCCCCCCCCCCTTGCCCCCCTTGCCCCCCCCCCCCAGGACGCTCGTGGAGGGGAGGTTCTATCAGGAGTCACATTTGCTCTCCTTGTCATTATTGTAATGGCTTTACAGAGAGGTTCAGACATTTTAAAAACTCCAACTGACTATTTTGATTGCAGATTTTCTCGGAGAAGATCCGGGATGCAGGATTTAACAAGTCCCTCCTGGAACGCTTGTGTCTGGCCAAGGCCTGCAGCATTTTCCTCACGGCAAACTATCGGACGTGCCAGCTTATTCTGGATTTCATCGCCAAGACTTACTACAACCAGACTTTCCGAGCCCAAGTTGTTCAACCTCTGCATGCGAAATTCCACCCACTGATGTTCAGCCTGGTGAAAGGAACGGATCAGCCAGCAGGGAAGTCGTATGTCAACACCCATGAGGTATGATGAAAGTGAAGTCTTAATTAAAATTTGGGATAATTCAGTGAGGTATCTGGGAACAATCAATTGTTTTGGTAAACACGGAGGTGTAGTCATAGAGAAAAAAATGTTTGTAATTAAAATTGAAATTAAATATGTTTAATTGTTTATGGTGAATTAAAATAGAGTATTTACATTTTTTTCTTCATCATAGATCTTAATTTGTTCATACTTAAACTTTGCAACAGCTCCCATTGGTTTAGTGCACATCTAAATGTGGCGTAATTATGCAAAATGAAAGGTCTCACATATGCAAATTAGGTATGGGAAACTTCTAGCCAATGAGAAGTGTTGCCTCCAGGTACAGATGCTTTTTAGCAGGAATCGTATATTAGCCATTTTGTGACAGTTATTCAAAGCACACCAAGGTTTTCATTTCTCTTGGATTACTATTGGTATTAGTATCGGCTGTGGCGTAAGCTTAAAACAGAAGATTAGTTTATTGGGTATGCTCCCTTATTTGAGACCGAGTATAAAAAGTAAAATCATATTTTTACAAATGTTTTTTTTTTTTTAGGTTCTTGAGGTAGTGAGGAGAGTGAAAGAGTTGAAACAAGATTGGCCCAGAGAATGGGAATCTTTCACTGATGCAAACAGTATCGGGGTAATCACTCCATGCATAATGCAGGTAAGTTGCAAATAACTCACGTCTATTTAATTTTACATATATTTCTTGAATTCGCTTGGAAAAATATACAGAAAAAATTATTAAGAATGTATAGCTCTCATGGAAGACCTCGGGGGAATGATCCTGAGTTTTGCGCAAGTGGTGTCTGTATATTTGGCTTTTCCAAAAATGCAAAGTTGCAGAAAAACCTTTCTTTTTGTTCTTCTTTTTTTCTGTCTTATTCTTTTTCTTCATCTTATTCTTCTATCTCAAATCCCATAGACTTAATTTGTACACAATGTTTTTCTGTCTTTTACTTTGGGCATTCATCTTCGTCACGCATCATATAAAGTTAGCATAGGCAAGGACCTCATAGCAAAGTCATGTCTAAAAAATGTGACGTCATCATTAATAAAATAGAAATGTTTTACTCTGATGTGTACCATCGATGACATTAAATTCCATATCGGAAAGTACTACTGAATGACATAGAGATTAACTATCTTCCGTGTGTTAAGACTAATTGCAAATTTCCCCATCTACTCTTTCTAATATCCGGCAGGCCCGTGTCAGTCGTGACAGTTTGAGGAAGGAGGGACTCGGCCATGTCACTGTCGAAACAGTGGACAATGTTCAAGGTTGGTTAGTTCTTAATTCTCTGATAATTGACCGTTTGATCAAGTCAACATATGAAAATAAGTTAAACTGCTGAAAACTGCTAACTTGATCGACTTGACCTATACAAACAAAAGTTAGATGGCCTGATGTTTAGATTCTCGTGGAATCTTTAACTAAATATTCTGAAAGGATTGAAACATTAAGTCAACAAACAAATGAATAATGATTACTTATGATTTTTTTTGGCACTCTCATAATTGTTCATTAGGAAAGCAGTTTAGAGTTGTGATCATCACTACAGTGCGCACTCGTAAAACCCTCAAAAAGCCCAGCTCAGGTGCAGGAGTCTCTGTTGAGAAGGAGGAGTTCTTCAGCAGCTTTTTCTCTGATCCAAAGGTGCTCAACACGGCCTTCACTCGCACCAAGTCGCTGCTGCTCGTTGTTGGCGATGCAGCAGCTCTGTGCTCATTGGGTAGCTGTTCGACAAAATGGATGAAGTACCTGAAAGTCTGTGAGGACAACAATAGCCTGTTTCCCTTGGTGAGTAGCCATTCAACAGCCAAGAGCATGTTTTGGGCGAGAACTAGGTCAACAGTAGTTCAGCTAACATAACTGAAACACAGGACGGTTGGACTACGTTAGTTAGGAACAAGACCGAAAACTTTTTTCCCGTTCTGATGCGGCCTAACGGGAAGGAACACCAATATTATTCATAATCTTCCAATTCTTCCGCGTGCGCACGGGCCCCATTCCACATGCATTCCTGTTTTTCATCCATACAATAGCGCAGTCCAGGTGCATGAGCATGTTTTGTGATCTACACTGAAACTCCGGTGAATGACGGGGAGCATTACTGAACATAACAAAAGCACAGTACAATGAAGCGTTCCTGTCTGCCCGGTGATCCAATGTTTTTGCCACATTCTACCCTGTGAGAACGGTCCTATTGTTATTATTATTGCCTCTCGTGCCAAATGAGAAGGAACGTGTTTTCACGCGTGGGACAGGAAAAATGTTTTTGGTCTTGTTCCAATAGCTATTTTGAACCAGACCACAGGTCACGGTTGCATCGCTAGTTAATGCCTATAACAGCATGCATCATAATGCACATCAGGGAGCCAGGATCAAGAAGTTTTGGGATGAAGTTTTTACCAACATTTGACTAAAGGCAATCGCACATTGCTTGGATGGGGGGGAGGAGGGGGCTGAACACAATCTCCCCTATGGTAGTGTTTTCAAAAGCATATGATAATGGGCACTATCGGACAATATAGGGGATGCTCTTCATGGCGACATAGTTGCTGATGTTTGCATGACATGAAAAAAGGGCACTATTGAAAAGAGGGCACTCGTGTAAAAAGGCACTTGTAAAAAAAGTTGCGGAAAAAAGGGGAAATATCCCTTCCCCCAAGAAATGCTACACCACTTATTCTCATTAAGCAACGTTTTTATTTTTTTATTGTTTTGACAGGGAAGCAACTTAGCTGGCATTCGTGCTGAGGTCAGAGAGGCTCGTCAAACACTGAATCCAAATGCCGTGCCTTTTCTGCCTGCCAACCATCGAAAGATAAATCAGACATCTGCCAAGAATCAGGATCAACAACAAGTGATGGATAGTGCACTTGAGGGGACAAGTGCCCCACCCCAGCAAGTACCTGATGATCTGGAGAGTAATTCTGACGTAGACTCTTTGTGCACAGATGATGACGACAGCGAAATTGAAGATTACATGCTCGCTGAGCTTCAGAGGGAGGTAGAGGAAGATGAGGAAAAAAGGCGGGAGGTGGCAGCACAAACAGAGAGAGCAAATGATGGAGTAGCTGAACCAGAGAGCATTGCCAAGATACACATGCCTAGGGCACAAGATGGTGCAGCTGAACCAGAGAGCATTGCCAAGATACACCTGCCAAGGGCACAAGATGTTGCAGCTGAACCAGAGAGCATTGCCAAGATACACATGCCAAGGGCACAAGATGTTTCAGCTGAACCAGAGAGCATTGCCAAAGTACACATGCCCAGGGCACAAGATGTTGCAGCTGAACCAGAGAGCATTGCTAAGGTACCCATGCCAAGGAAACAAGGTGTTGGAGCTGAACCAGAGAGCATTGCCAAGGTACACATGCCAAGGGCACAAGGTGTTGCAGCTGAACCAGAGAGCATTGCCAAAGTACACCTGCCAATGGCACAAGATGGAGAGGCTGACCAAGAGAGCATTGCTAAGGTACACATGCCTAGGGCACAAGATGGAGTAGCTGGACCAGAGAGCATTGCCAAGGTACACATGCCCAGGGAACAAGATGGTACAGCTGAACCAGAAAGCATTGCTAAGGTACACATGCCCTGGGCACAAGATGGAGTAGCTGGACCAGAGAGCATTGCCAAGATACACACACACGGGGCACAAGATGGAGAAGCTGCGGCAGAGAGTGTTGCCAAGGTACACATGCCCAGGGCACAAGATGGTACAGCTGAACCAGAGAGCATTGCTAAGGTACACATGCCAAGGGCACAAGATGGAGTAGCTGGACAAATGAGCGTTGCCAAGGTAAACACGCACACGACACAAGAGAGCAAGTATCTGCCTACTACTGAGAATCCCAATCCACATCAGCCCAAGGGACATTGGTCTGGGCCCAAAACCAGCAGTTTTAAAATGGTTGTTCAACAAACAGCTTCAGGTGAGGAGCCGACAAACAAAGAGATGTTGTCAGACATCAACATGAGGCCAGGGGGCAAATCCTCCAGAAGAAGTAAGAGTAAATTCAGAATGAAACATGCAGACCATCTTGTGGACCTATTCTTCGTAGATACACGTGACCATTCACATCTTGAGGGTGCCAGCGATTTTGATGATGATGTTGCAGATGAGACAGAGCAGGAAGAATATTTCAAAATGATGGATAAGGAAATGCAGAGGGAGGGTCTTAGACATGTGGAAAGTGAGCCAGACAAGTACAAGATATGTTCATTCAGATTCGAGTCTACAATCACATTTGCAATCCCAAAGGGTGAAAATTCTTCCCACGAGATCTGCATTAGTGGCAGAAAAAACAGAGGGCAAGCATTGAACCTTGATGAGGTTGTAGTTGAGATTCTCGAAAATGATGACAGGTATGACCATGATGCCTCTGCAGAGAAAAAAACCTATGGCAAGGTCATCTGCATCTTGAAAAGAACCACCAACCCCAAAAGGAAGAAAATTGTCTGTACCCTGGATAAATACACTGACAACCTGATGGTGCCCAAAGACCGCACATTTCCCAAAATGTATGTTATTTCAGGTAAAGGTGTCAAGAGAGTTCACAAGGAACATGGTGTCTCAGCTGACTATGTCCCCATTTCAATTTTCAAGAAAAGGAGACAAAACAATGGCTTTGGCTTTGAAAGAATGGTGAAAGTTCCTAGAAAAGAGAGGCAAAGCAAACTCTTTTGTGTGAAGTTCCTGAAGTGGGATGAAAAAAATCGCTACCCTGTTGGTTACGTCACTGAAGAGCTGCCAGTTGGTGACAACCAAGAAGATGGCTTGCTCATTCTGAAGCACACCCATGGCATCAGAGATGATTACCCACCCTCCATCATCAGGGATCTTGTGAGCAAATGTCCAAAAGGTTGGCAGATACCAAAAGAGGAATTGAAATCTCGGAAGGACTATAGAAGCAAGTCAGTCTTCACTGTGGACCATCCTGAGACACAGGATCTAGACGATGCCCTGAGCATAGAAGAGAAGGATGGGGGGTATGAAGTTGGCATTCACATTGCTGATGTTTCTCATTTTGTCCAGAAAGACTCGACATTGGACCAGGAGGCAAGGGACAGAGCAGTGTCGTTTTATCCATCATTTTCTGAGCCAGTTGGTATGCTGCCCCCACATCTGAGCACAAATCTATGCAGTTTACTTCCTGACAAAGACAGGCTCGCCATCTCTGTCATAGTCACCATGCACAAAGATGCATCAATTACAGACGTTAAGTATGAATTGTCTGTCATAAAATCTAAGAAGAGACTAAGTTTGGAAGAGGCAGAACAAATGATCATGGCCCAAGGTTATGGACGAGAAGGATCGATAGAGCAGCAGGTTTGGCAACTGAGCCAGTTAGCCCAAAAGCGAAGACAGGTTCGTATGTCTGACAGTTGTCATGCTTACTCCCATTCCAAGGAGGGAGAGCTTTGCCATCCATTAGCATCCTCCATGGTAGAAGAAATGATGTTGATTGCCAACGAGGAGGTTTCAAAGTTCCTCCTTGGTCAATATCCAAAGCTTACCCCTCTCAGAAGCCAGCTTCCGCCTGACAATGAAAAGGTTGAAGCATGGCTCGACAGCCACAGAGAGGACATACCAAACAGCTTCTGCCTCCAGTGTCATCCCACCTTAGATGGTGAAGGAAGGGACACAAGATCTCATCAGGATGTGTTCATCTTGAAAAACACCGGGGAGAAGTTGATGCGTATCATGAATTCGCCTGAGGAGCCATCCGGAAAAATGTCAAAGATAACTGACATCATGTGCTCCGATGAAAACCATCCCCAGTTGGCTGTGGCTCTGACTGATTTACACCATATTCAGGAGAAGGCAACCTACAGTAATTCCAGCGAATATAAAGATACTCAGAAAATGAAGCACCACTCCTTGAAGAAGCCTTCCTACACACACTTCACATCACCAATCCGACGGTACTTTGATGTTGTGGTTCAAAGGCTGCTCAAAGCTGCATCACAGAATACGGGGGACGAGCCATATTCAGCAGAAGAATTATCCTTGATTTGCCATCACTGCACCAATCAAGGCATCAGAGCAAAACGGTTTGAGAAAGAAAGTGCAAGCTTTCACTTTGCTCTCAAGCTGAAACAGACACCAGAGTTGCTACAAGCATATGTTGGTGCCATTGGGGAATCTGGTCTGCAGCTGATGTATCCATATCGTAGTTTTGTTCCGAGAGCTACACAAAATGTTCCCCTTCAGCACCTGAACCCTGTGAAGAAACCTGAGCTGGAAGACAGCATGAAAGTCAATCTCACATGGAAGCTGAGGATATATGATGTAAGCAGGCCACCAATCCCGCATATCAGAGGTCAATCGATTCTCTGCACAGAGCAGTTTGTCATGAAGATCTCAGCAACTGATCGGCAGATGCTGCTGCAGAGAATCAAGATCAATGATCTTGATTCTATACGGCATATCTTTGCAAGGGTTTATGAAAGTCACAAACAGCTAGAGGAAGACAGACGTGTACGCCAGTTAGTAGGAGAAACTTCACAGCCAGTAACAGAAATATCACAGACACTCGACTCTGATGGGAGCCCTTCCCCCTTTGCTGAGTTCTCACGTGGTTTTCAGCAGAGCGATGTCTTGCAAGTGCAGCTCCATGCATCCCTGGTCAAGGGTGTGATAGAGCCTAGTGTCCAACTTGTCAGTCTGACTCCAACATTTGGTCTTTGTACTGAGCACAGGATGAAACCTGTTGAGAGTTTTGACGTGGTGGCAACAAAACGGGCAGTCAGATGCAACAGCATTCAGAAATACAAAGAGATCTGGCTGCCAATCGTGGAAGTGATGAGTGTTCACAATGCAGTCCACAGCAATGAAAGTCTTTTCATTCGAGGGGTGAAGATCTATTGGGACAACGGACAATCACCAGGTACCTGGTGTGGACGAATCAATCTCCCATCTTCATTCTGTGAGGAGTGGCACATAAGGTTCAGCCCTCCCAACACATCAGATGATAAAGATGAATTGGATGAGTCTGATGAAGAAGAGGTGAGCAAGGACCCTGATATGAACTTGGACTACCTGTGCATCCGTTACACTGATCTGCCGATATCTGATGAGACAAAGAGAGCTGTCAGAGAGCTGGAGTGCAAGTCAAGAGGCATGCAATCACAGAAAAGTACTGGCATTCCAGAGAGGATGCCTTTCACGGTCCATGCAACAGTAACAGATCTGAGACGCTACAAAGGCAATCGGGAGGTCCACTTTGCTGTGAAGAAGCTGAGCTCACCCTTCCCAAGGATCCTGTTGGAGTCTGCTGAGAGGTTTGCTTGCACGGTTGAGGTGATTCCCAAACAAGAGCAAGACAGGCAAGTCAACTTTCCATGGCGTTTAATTTCCATGACAATTATCAGTCAAAAAACAGGGCCCTTGCATTTCTCAGACTCAAAGCCATTTAAAATGACATCCATGATTTAAGTGTTAAACAATTTAAAATCTTTCAAAAAATGACATAACTTTCTCCAAGTATTACTTGAAACTTGATATTGATGTGGAGCTAAAAAAAATGTATTTTTTATCTAAAAGCACAGCAAAATTGAAATACTTTGACCCTTGATATTAAGACATCACTGGCAGCAAGTAACTTTTAGGACTATGGCCCCAAGCTTTGCCCAAATTGCAAACATTGATGACAGTGCTCAACTTACAAACATCTTGCGTTCATTTTGTAAATTATCCTGCCAACATTTCAACCATCTCTTTAGGCTTATCAAGTTGCAAAAGGTTTGCAGTTTTATAGTCACATTTTCAATTGCTGTCCTTTAATGATTATGGTGGATTTTTTCTTAATTTAGAGTATTGAGACAAAGCAAACAAATGCTTTCAAGAATGTCAAGAATTGTTTGTGCTAATTATAAACTCATTTTATTTTAAAGGGAATATACAACATTTGCAAACATCGAAAAGTAAAACTACCAAGTTTTTGCGAAATACCTTAATAGGATGTTGGTAAATGACAGTCTAAAGCATCCTGTAAAATTATGGCACCTGGTATACTGTCATTTTCAAGAAAAGTTGTATTTTTATATCAATTTCCAACGCTGATCGGCCGATCAGCGTTGGAAACAACTGGCTTTTTTTCAAATACTGGCCCCAATTGACCATTGCACTTGTTTGCAATCGATTACAAACCTATGAACGGGTACGAGCCAGCTAGACTGGTTCCCTGACCTTACAATTCCCCAATGTATGTAAACTGTTCTGTTTCTTCTTGTATGGAGTCAGGGAACCAGACTACAGGAAAATGATCGTTTTTCTTGGTTTTTATAGCATTTTCGAACCCAAAACCTCCAAAAAGTCAGTGTAACTATATTTGCTTTATATTTCCAACCCCCCAATTCCATCCATTTCTGAAAATTACAGCAAAAGCAAATGATGTATATTCCCTTTAATGTACATGTAGGCGACTTGAGAATGCTGTAAGGGATCTGGACACGGCCACCCCATTAACACAGAACATCTGCCTGTTGAAGAAACAACCTATTGGTATGAAACCTACCGGTATCATCATGATAGTTCCTAGATTTTGTCTGAACTTGTCCGAGTGTCGCCTTTCCTTCTAAATTAAGAAACCCAAATCCAAGACAGAACGTTTTGGGGTTAATTTATTTCAGTGTTCAACCAAAAAAGTGTTATTTGTTCATGTAGTCCCCCGGCCAGCTAGTGATTGCTTTGCGAACATCAGGTGTGGTATTCCTAAATACAAATTTCGGTTTCTGGTATGGAGCTTGCCCCAAAGGTGGTGCCGCGATGCGGATTTTTTTTTATTTGCTTTTTTACTTTTTTCCCTTATAATGTCGGCTGATGACTGCAAATGGTGCATGACTAAATTTAGTGCAAAATATATGGGAGCCCAGAGAGGCCACATAAAGCTGATACTCGATCGTAACCCCATCTAAAAACACGTTAAAATTGTGCAGCAGCAAGATTCCAGTCAAATCAGTGAGTTTGGCAGTTTTGAGACATCATCTTGCATTGAAAAAAAAACATTTTAATTTTGCCGACGTGCATGTGGCTACGACAATGCGCGCGCAGACCAGAAACCGAAGCCTTTTTTTGGCCTAAGCTTACATGACCATCACAAAATATCATGTAGACATAGCTGCCAACTAGTACGATTTTTTCGTAATTATTACGAATTGTTTGTTAAATTACGAAAATACGATTTGCCACTAAAACATTACGAATTTCCCATTTTCTACCTAACGAAAAAAAAAATGTAAAGTATCGTTTTTGACCGAAAACTTCTGGCGAAATGTCGCGATAATGGATGGACTGGTGACAAGTCTAATAAGAATGCAGTCAAGCACCTGATAGACATCAATGCAGTGTGCGCAGTGGAGTACTTGAGGACCAGACTAAAAATGTTTTTCAATGGTGTGTCATTTGTGTGCATCTCGTGGATGTGTGGTTGTGTGTACTGTATGTCAGTACTTTTCAGTGACGATCGTGAGCACATTTAGTCGCTTATTGCCGGGATGAGACCCATCAGTGCGAGATTTTAATCATGGAATTTAATAAGAGTATGGTTGGAATAATTGGTAATGGAGTTTGAGTTTGTCACAACGGACAGAAAAGATAAATCAGCATGCGTTTGCAAGGTATGTTGGCGGGATATTTCTATTGCATACGGTGGCCATAGATCATTGTGTGTAAAAACATGATACGAACTCGAAACTCAACATCGATAGCATGCATCTCCAAAAAAATATGCGCACATGTTATTGATTTTATTATTTATTTGACTTCAACGAACAAATACAGACATTAAAACAAAATTAATTTAAATTTTTTTTTTTTTTTTTTTATTATTATTTTTTTTATTATTATCTTTTGGCCTACAGTACATTATTATTCACAACAAGAAGGGTATGCACATGTATGTGTACATGTAAACCATGTACCTGTACTCGATGTTGGTAAAGCTTTCGATAAAACGAGAAGTTGAAAATGACCGCACGGGTTGATTACTAATTGGGATTTTGAAATGTTGGCAGCTATGTCTAGAGAACACGCTAAGAAAAACAATAATCCAGACTAAAGTCCAAATTCTTTTAAATTACTACAGTTAATTCAATAATTAGGTTTTGCTCTTCACCGACGTATAAATACTCAGTAAGTTACACCTCCTGAGTGAAAGTTGGGGAAAATCACTCGGTTTGGACTCGAACCCACGACCTAGTGCAGATATCTAACGACTCAACCACCTGAGCTTGCAGGATCGGTACTACAATTAATGGTATCAAGGACTGAATGAATTTGTCACAGCACATGTTCTCAACCACCAAGTATTTCAAAGTTGCTAACGATATGATCTATTATTAATGTTTTCTAACCAACGATTTAAAGTAACTAGTCTAATCTGCATGATAAACAAAAACAATTACACATAACTCTATAGCCAAAGTTGAAAAATAATACTCATGAAAATACATATTATCTTGCTTGTTTTAACCAACATTTAAAATTTCACCCTATTACCCAACAGATATGGGGACTGTTGGAGATGATCTGAGGTCCAGTATGGCTATGGACACGCCATTTGGTCAGCTGAATAAATCTCAACACATTGCAGTTTCTCGAGCACTCCAGCAGCAGTTTACTGCTATCCAGGGGCCTCCAGGTAAAACTTTGCTTTCTTTCTATTTCCGGACTTGTGCAACTGCAAATTTGGGTCGTCTTCAAAATAATTTGTCATTATATTGTTGAAGAAAATGAGTGATTTTTGTGGTAATTTTGGTCGAGTCCCGAGCCATGAAGGTCGAGTCCGAGTCCATTTATAAGGGAATAAATAAGTGCTAGGCCAATATTAAACAAGTACGTTTAAAATTAGCCAGAGGTCTGGACGCTATTATCGGCGACTAGGCCCCTAGCCGGGTTTTAATACTAGTCCAGCATATATCTATTCCCATCATAAATACCTTTTCGGCAAAAAGTCACAACAAGTCAAAGTTATACATTTCCAACGCACTGTTCAACAATTTTACTATATGTTTTGTAAAATACCCCTCTGTGCGAGTATGGCACAAAAAATCTCTTTGTGTGGAGATTGGCGTGTGCGTTGCGCATACGGGGGATGTGGCGCAGAATGCAGAGGTGCCTTAAAAAAGTGTCTAAAACCAGTCTTCTTTTTTTATCACCGGTTTAAAAGCACACACGTGACGGGCTCTCGACCAGTAGGCCTAAACTGTTAAAAATAGTAATTTATGAAAATTTGGGCAGAGTTGTATCTGCTACTGTACTACTGACCATGTGATTCACCATTGCCATTTGTATTAACATATATTCTACATTGTATGTACAGGCACTGGAAAGACAATTGTTGGAGCCACACTGGCGTCCCTCTTCGCGGAAATCAATATGCAGTCTCCACCATCAGGCAAAACACCTCAGGTTCTGTACTGTGGACCCTCAAACGAGTCAGTCAACGTGGTTGGTGGTGAGTCAGTATTGAAGCATTAAGCTGAATTGAATTATCTGTGATAAATCTGAACGACCAAAAATCCTTGTTTAAAAGTTTGAGTTTGCCAACAGTTAGTGCCAGTTTTCACAAACACTGAAAATCAAAGATGTGTTGCTTCCTCAACTGTCATCGAAGTTTACTCAGTAAGGAGCAGCTAAGACCTGCTCCTTGCTCCATTCTTAGTGTTTTTAGCGCTGCTTTAACACGACTTTCTGAAATAAACATCAGATTTTTCTAAAGTTTTTTTTGGGGGAGGGGTTAAAAAATGTGTGACTCGCAAGTCACAAATAATTAGTGTCAAGACTGAGTCATGATGGTTGAGTCTAGTGTCCAAGTCAAATTCTTTTGCCTAGGTGACTAGAGTCGAGGCCGAGTCACTGAAATTGTGACTCGAGATGGACTGGAGTCCGAGTCTTGGACTGGTCATTGAACACTGCTCTCTATGTTCAGGTTATCTGAAGATACTCAACTCGAAGGTGGCGCGCGTCTACAGCGAGACCATTGAGCGCCTGGCATACCCCATCCCTGGAGATCCTGCCACCATCTCTCAGAACAGAACGAGCCAAGAGAACAAGGTGGACCATCGGCTGGACGACATTGCCCTGCATCACCTGATCCGGAAGAAATCCAACGGCCACAGCGAGAGGATTAGAGAGTTTGACCGAGTCTTCAGTGATTCTAATCACAAGGCCTCCGCGGAAGAAATCCGGAACTACAGGCAGGAAATTGCCAAAGCTGAGGTGAGATTCTCAGGCATGATTTCATCAGACTTTTGGATCAGAGAGAAAGACATTATCAGTATAAAAGCAATGCATATTTCAGACCTTTCATCCATTTTTCAGACTTTTCTTTTGCATTGAGACTTTCATCCCTGTTTCTGCAGTGTGTGTTCAAAACAAAATTTTGACCACTTTTTCCTCAAAGATTGGGATTTCTTTTTGTTTCTAAGGCTAAAGGCCAGTCCCTACTCCTTTCGAAAGCTAATGCAAATTTATGACGTCATGGTAAGTATTCACATTGCAAATTTGCAAAAGTTGAAGACATCATTTCAACATTGAGCAGATTTCACAGTGAATTTTTCATGACATCATATTCGCATGATGTATGAAACCAGCTGTTAGATTTCGAAAAGCCATATACATGTATGCTAAAGTGCTATCAACAATAAGAACTCTGAATCTCAAAATTGTTGAAACTTGTGATTTCAACAATTGCTGTCATTTCCCTGATTATCATGTGAGGGATAACACTCTGAAAAAGAACTGGATGTGAATTTGAAGCCAAGAGCTGATTGTCTATTTTGCCTTCTCCAGAAGGAGGAGCTGAGGAAGTACCACGTCATCTTGTGTACGTGCAATGCCGCTGGGAGCCGTCGCATCAAGGATAATGTCAAGGCAGTGCAGTGCATCATTGATGAGGCTGGCATGTGCAGCAAGCCAGAGACACTCATCCCACTGACTGCCACCAATCCCGAGAAGATTGTGCTTATCGGTGACCACAAGCAGCTCAGGTGAGCATACATTTCTTAAATTAGAGGCAACCTAATGGAAATTCTACATATACTGTAGTTAGTGACGAAATAGTTTGCAGCCGTTTTAAAGATAAAGTCCATCATTTGTAATTTGTGCATTTTGTTCGTTTGAAGCAACAAACGTGTTCAAAATCTAATGAAGGATGCTGAACAACTAACCATGATGAAGTTTCAGCTCAGCTTCAGCCGTATATTCCGAGAAAACAGCATTCCAGGATCTCGGTTTCAAATCAAAAGTTGCTGAATCATGTTTTGAATTAGGCCTGAATTCAGAGTCCGAGACGCGTTCTCACTGAGCCGATTGCAGCTATACGTGATATCGGGCACTGATCCGACGAATTATAGCAGCCGCGTCGTGCCAATGCTGGCGCGCGCTTCGCCGAATAACAAAACGAACTACTAATTTAAATTTTCCTACGGAGCGTCTTAAGACGCATTGTTGGAAAGGCCTTCTTTCGTTGATAACTACAAAATAACAGCTTGCCAGAAAGAATAATTTCACAGTGAGTTTAGTCCCCTTACTTTCTTCCAACCAAGTATGTTTTCAACAACAATCACACCAGTTACATTTGTACTTTTCGGATGGCTGCAAATGATGGACTATAGCTTCAAAGCATTTTGCGACAACAGCGATTAGCTTTAGGTTTTGAGACTACACTTATTTGAAGGTAGAGTATATATCATTTGCAGCTATCCAAAAAGTAACTGACAAAGTTATTGTTGAAAAGCAAACTTGGTTTAAAGATTATAGTAATGGCACTAAACTCCCTGTGAAATTGTTCTGTCTGGCATGCTGTCATTTCGGAGAAAACAAAAGTTTATTTTCATAACAACGCATTTATGGAAAATTCCGTTAGTAGTTCGTTTTTAATTAGGCGAAGCCGTGAATGGGTATGCGCAGGTGTTGACACAAAGTACACATGTGTGCGGTTGCTATTTCAGGCACAATTTAAAATGTGGCTCGGCAACTTTTGAATTGAAATGAGATCTTAGCACAAATGACAAATGATGTACTCTACCTTTAATCACATCCGTTACAATGCTCTGTCCGTTCATTCCATGAAGTGTGGGCATATTTGATGCAGTTAAAAATAAACTGATTTTTACAGTGAGCATTTTGGGCTATAATTTTCATGCAGTTTGTAGCACAATAAAGATATATTTGAACTTAATTGTGTATTTATAGTTTTTTCATATGTTACTTTTTTCAGGCCAATCATAACAGCATCCTTAGCAGAGGAGCTCGGAATGAAAATTTCCATGCTGGAGGAGTACGAGAAGCATGCCATCATGCTGACTACACAGTACAGAATGGTAAGGGACATTGGAAAAAATATATAGGATTTAATCACGTAGCCCGACGAAGGCCTTAATAATAATAACAATGTGTGTAATTTTTGTGCAAGTCACATTTTTGCACCACCGGCCCCCCCCCCCCTTCTCGCAGTCTGCCTTGATTCAGTGGCACTAGTTTTAATTAATATCAATTATTTGAAATCTACATTTTCGCTCCTTTAAAGTTGGTAGGCCTATACAGTGACATTTCGATAAGTCAAACCAAACTCTGATTACTCAAAACAACTGTTAAGTCAAACAAAGAATCCATATTCCCTTCAGTAGTATAACAATGATACATGTATACAACCCTGCTCAACTCAAAACCCTGCTCGAGACAAATCTTGAACCTATCAAAATTTTGATATTCTTATTATGAAATTTCAAAGAATATAATGTCCTACAACAAATAAATTTGTTTGTTTGTTTCGCAGGCCTTTGCACGGCCCAGTTAAGAAATTCCGCACGCTATCCACAACAAACTAGGAGCATCCCGCTCCGAGTTAAAATGTTGAAATTAATTAGCCTAATTGATTACTTTTCTCGGGCCGCTTTTTTGTGTGCTATGTCTCATTGGAAAGGTCATACATGTAACTAATGTAATGCTAAAAAATTATCAAATCAATTTGAAAATCTATTTTTAAGGTGCCGCACCCAAAAAGCAGATAAACACCAACTTTAAGTTTTGCTCACTTTAAATATTAACCCATGCCCCCCCCCAAAAAAAGTAACGAAATAATAAACATCAACATTGCCTTTGTTTTTTAATATATATTTTTTTGTAATGATATATTATGTATAGCACGAGACCATCTGTAAGTTCCCGTCGGACACGTTTTACAAGAGCAAGCTAGAGACAGCTGAAGTGGTGAAGCGAAGACGGCCTGAACCAAAAGCAGTGCAACGCATCTGGCCGGCCGAAGGGAAAGACTTCCGGAATGTCTTTTGCCACGTTGACGGCAGGGAGGAAACACAGAGTGTCAAGTCAGCAGATGCCAATGAGAATTCCAGGGCAAATCCACAAGAGGTCAAACATGTGGTATGTAATTCCTCAAATTATACATGTATGCTAGGCAGTGCCATGGCAAGAGGTCATTTGTATTGGGAGTGGGATGGGGTGGGGGTTAAAAAAATTGTGTAAAGGACAGGGGGGGGGGGGGTAACATCTTCCTATGGGGTACTGTTCAAGCGGTGGACACTATCGGACAAGGTGGCACTTTTTCAGAGCACTTTGCCAGCGGTTATGAGAAATTCCATAAAGAAAACTCGAGGACAAAAAAGGCACTCGTTTAAAAAAAAATCTCAAAGTTGTAGGCCTATTCAATACAATAATTCAGATGTTCAGTGGATGATCAAATATGTTGTGTATTTTTGGTACAGTTATTACAAACTTAACGACTCTTCAGAGGACCTTACAGAAACTTGAGACAAGATTGGAAAACTCTATTTCTAGAAGAAATCTCTTTTCCTCCTTGTAACCTTCTTGAAATAAGTACAGACCCAGGTCTTTTTGGCATATTGGACTTCTTTAAAGTTAAAATCTGCCTTTTATCTTCTTCATTCAGGTACAGATAGTTCTCAACTTGATTACGAAGTGCAAGATAAAGCCGGAAAGGATACTTGTGCTATCCCAGTATCGACTGCAGTGTACCAGGATAAGAGACAGAATAGAAGAACTCGGCAGGCATGATCTCAAGAAAGTGACGGTCAGTACCGTCATTACTAGTCAAGGTGAGTAGCGAGTGGTGAGTGGTGTACCATAATATAGACGGCAATTCCAGATGGATGGGACATACATACTTTTGTTTTATTTATTGGAAGCATTGGGGGGCCACAAGCAATATAAAATGTCCATAACAATATGGTATCTCGCTGGCAACATTTTACCATCTTGCTTCAGCAAGTTAAAACCTTGCCACCGTGAGATAGTATCTCGCCAGACAAGATGGCAAGCCAACGTAGTGAGATACTATCTCACCCTGGCAAGATAGTAATTAGTCAGGTTATTATCTCTCAGTGGCAAGTACAATCAAGCCATATCTAATCATGTTTCCGAAAAAGGTACTTGCCGTGGCAAGATGGTGAGTCACTGCGGCAAGTTCGCTGCTGCGACATACTATCTCTCACTGCAGCAAGATAGTTCCCGCCACAGGGAGATAGTAAGTCACTGCAGTGATAACAATCTTTTCTTTTCATTGGTTAATACACTAGTACTGTTGTGCAAAATCTAAATTCACATTTAACTCTCTGAATTTTCAGGTGGGGAGAGAGACTATGTTGTGTTCTCCACTGTGCGTTCACTGCCGAGGCAAGAGATTGAGGAGAAGCCTACCCTGGGTTGGAAGAGCCGTAACCTGGGCTTCATCATGGATGACAACCAGATCAACGTGGCCCTGACGAGAGCCAGGAAGGGTCTGATCATTGTTGGTAAGACTAAGAGCCAAGTTTGAGTTCAAGCAGGGGGCATTACTGGAAGTGGGAAGGGGGGATGTGAACCTAAATCTACTGGTCCAGTGGCTAAATCGAGACGGCAAAATAGGTGCTATCATGAACTGTGAACCTTAAGGTCCTTTCACTACCCAGAATATATGTCTTGGACCTGTGTCCGACACAGAATTTTTTGGGAACCCCTTTCACACTAGCAAGAATCCAACTGGCTTCAGACTAGCTAACAGTTTTATGAAACAGTGCGTAACCTACACCATGTGTAGAAAATACACAACAAATTTATGGCGCAGCTACACAATAAATGGTCGATTTCACGAAACTTGGCATAGCTTGGAGAGGGGGGGGGGGTGCTGCGGTGCAAATGGTTTGACTGTGGCAATTGCGAATGTAGCCTATTTTCAAGTAGTATAGGGTTGTAAATGGTGCCATCAAAGTCAAAATAGTCCATATCCCCCAACAACAAAAAATAAAATTTTTGTGTGCAGTCAAACATTTTGGGCAAAATTTTAAAAATAAAATCAAACTTCTACACAAATTTGAAAAGAAGCCATGTGAGCCCCCCCCCCCCCCCGCCATATTGCCCTACTGGATGTTTCTCAAGTTGGTTAACTTTTTCGCTTTATTGTATTTTTAAAGTTTGTTACACCATATAACAGCTGTTGAAACTGACATAGGGCAACCATGAGGGTGGGATTCCAAAATGGCATTTATCTTGCTTTGGTAACAAAGTCTTCATTTTCAACCTTTTTACTGCAGGAAACCAGCGCCTTCTGCAAGTTCATGACACCTTCAAGAAACTACTTGATCATTACCGACACAAAGGTGCTGTTCTGAATGCAGAAACTTTTGTGCGCCGGTTCCGCCAAGTTCATTCGTCTTAAATTTCGGACCAACTTCTCAGCATTCTATGCTTCACAAGATGGAATTTGCATTGGGGTAATGTACATTCAACAATGTACGTCAGTGAAGGGCAAAAGCCAATTATTGAATTCTCAGCATTCGTTGGGACTGACTACGTACTTACCTTCCGTCGTAAGTCTTCTGAGGAGCTCACATGACAGAGAAAGCGTTCACAACAAAATTGAAAACCCGACAAATAACTTTTATAACATTAACTCCAATCTTCCTGCTCATCATATTACATGCTTCGTAATCCTCGTGTCTACCTTTTCAGATATGATCCAGTATGTAAATATGTATAGTTATTTTGTACTTTTGATATCCTAAACTCAGTCAAGCAAAAGAAGCACTGTATATAAAGTAAATGTAAGACGTAGGCAAAGAGTAAAGATTAACTTTTGCAAATGTTTGAATCTTACATGAAACGTGTAAGAAATCTGCTCCAGACAACCAACTTAATTCCTACTGACCTTCTCGAAGATTGGTTATTGTTTACAACCCACATCTCAGATGTACTTGATCTCATCATTCAGAGCATCCTCCTGTCATCTTGCTCAGACCATTTCATTTGGATGAGAAATTGTTTTGAGCAAAAACGACAAAGTTTATTATTGCTTCCATCACTTGCCCATTAGAACAGACTCCAGGATATATGAAATAGATGGTGGAATGTTGAAGGTTCATAACCTAACTCAGGCCTAGTCAGAGGTGCTCCTTTTCATCTTTCAAAATTTGTCTGTAAAGTTTAAAATGGGTGGATCAGAATCATCATGTATTGTCTATCAACCATGAGAATATTAACCATTAGTATGTATTAGATATTATGTGATGTACGTATTATATCGAAGATACAAGTTTCCAGATTGAAGTGCATGCTATACATTGGAGAAATGTATATTTTCTATGTTTATCTAGAGTAAGTGTTTATAACTTTTTTGTACGATAAAGTATAGGCGGAGGAATTTGCATATATGTATAAAGTAAAATTTTATCAAGGAAACTTGCATGTAAATGTAATAATGTAATGTAAATTGCATGTAATAATGTATATTGTACAGTGTATCATATTTCAAATGTACATATATATTACTAAAGTTGTAATAGTAAAAGTATGTAGTTGTAATGGTTTTACAATAGTTATAATATATTTGCTGCTTTTATTTTATTGCAGTGTATTGTGTTGTAATGTAGGCCCATTAGTTTTTTTTGTGTAGTAATTTCTAATGTCCCAGTAGAAGCCAGTTTTAAACTGTTTGGGCACACCCTACGTAAAGAAATGTAATTTAGCTAGAGCAAATAAAATACTGTAGTTTGTAGTTTTATACAGGGGAAATTTAAGTTTCATTTGATAGCCAAGTACTTACCGAGCTAATCAGTTTGATGTTGGTATAAATTTACTGGTATAAGTGCAAGAGATAGTATACCAAAAGTTAAACAAATTTCTTTTAAACAAAAATTTGTCTGGCTGCATTTCCAATCTTGCCATCAGTTTTGATTTTGATTTTAAATAGTTGCAGATCTAAAGTTTAGCTTACTTGCTAATATTTTTCTCCATTCATAGCAAAGCTAGCTTGTCTGGCCTGTACTTGCCAATTATGTTGTTAATAGTTGATTAATAATTAGTATATTTGGATAGGGCCTATGTCTGACCTGTACTTACCGTACAGATATCAAGCCTGGGGAAAATTCTGAAACTAGCTGACTAAGTATCAAACTGTTTTAGCTGATTTCAAGTGGAAGTCTGGAATTTTCAACTGGGTCTACCTATTTTCAAATTGGTATAGCCTAGGCTACATAGTTTTTTTTCTGAAAGCTGCTTATAATTGAAGTAAATTTCTAGTACAGTTGGGCCAACTATATAGATTGATATTGAAAAAAATAACACCGAAATCACGGTTTCTTCATGTAATTGTGATCGCTTGGTAAGGCAACTAGTATTATCATACAGAATATACTATAACTGTCCAGAATGTTTGCTGCGTTAACCTTAAAAGGGCAATGGCATTGACCATACATATACATTTAAATGTACATGTACATTTAAAGGTATACATGTACAGAGTTTCAAGTAATGCATTTTTGTAAACTTGTATGCAAATGCCCAAAAAATGTTTAAAAAAAAGAAGAAAATCAATTACTTGCGTCGTTGTTAGAAATTCCGTAAACAGGTCTACTCTTTATATTAATTTGTAAACTTTTTAATACATTTGTGTAAGACTGTGTAATCTTTCTTACTCAATTATTGGAAAGTATCATGTTGTAGTAATTGCAGTCGTCCTTTGAGATATTTTAACAATTAGAAATGTAGTGCTTTCAGGAGATTTAAAACAGCTTGTCCAAATTTAGGTTTAGTGAAAGCTGTATGCTTGCATGTAAATAAAGACGCGCTCACAAATTGTTAGACTTCCTTGCAGTCTTTGCATGAGGGATTGGAAACCACCACACCCCTGCCCAAGAAGCTACAACCTTTTTGAACATATAACTCATCAAAAACATTCCATACTTTTTCCAGATTGAAGCATTTCTTGGTCAAGTTGTTTAAGAATCATGTTTTCCTTGAGCTGGTTTTAAGGTGTTTTGACCTACATGTATAAAACCTTTTATAGAACAGAAAAAGGGTAATTGCTAGGGGTGCCTTGAGGCAAATACAAACATTATGCCATATTACCCTGCATTGCCCTGTGGCCCTCATTAGTGACCACCAAACCCTCTGCCCATAGTAGGTCAAGGATTTTTCATGTTCTCCCAAGCCACCCCCAGGGAACGACCTCACTAAATTTGACTAAAATAATTTTGTGCCCATCCTGATGTGTTGTATAATGCAGGCCTAGTATTTCCAAACCCCCAAATTAGTACCAACCTGTAACACCAGAAATACCCTAATAGACCATTATCATGTTGCAGCCATTTGATTTTTTTCCCATTCAAATCAATGTAACCAAAGCGAAGCTGGAAGGCAAAATAGTCTGGTTCCTTTTTGCACAAAAACATTATCATGCATTCAGTACTGTTATTGGATACAGGGAACATGACTAAAATGGCGGAAGCATGATATAGGTCTATTAACACGTCCCAACCTCTCCCTCCCCCAGCTCCCATTTCTAAATCAAAAAACTTGTCACCAATTAAAACAAAAGTATTCAGGAAAATCACTATACGAATCTGACATGCAACAAATGAGTAGGAATATAGTTGTTTTTAGGGGGAAATGTGGCAACCTGACGCCACTTTTGCAATTGTGTACAAAGTCTATGGAGAGTCAAGAACATTTTGGTAAAAATGTTGCAACCTGCAGACGCCACTTCCGTGATTGTGTACAAAGTCAATGGAGAGTCAAGAAAATTTTCTCAAGTGTTTCTTATATAAAATTGGAAATATATCTCGGTCCCAGATTCATGTTTTTTCATCATTTTTGCAATGAAAAATATGAAGAAGAAAAGTGGCGTCAGGTTGCAATTACCTTCTTACCAAACTGATGTTCTAAGTTTTTCTTATATAAAATTGGAAATGTTTCTCATAAGATCAGTCCCAGATTCAATTATCATTTTGCAATGAATGACCCACATTGAGATGATATAAAATTGAAAAAAAAAAGTGGCGGCAGGTTGCAACATTTTTTTCCTTCAAAAAATTCAAACTGGCGTTGCTGGTTTCTCGCCATGCCATTAAGTTATTCCTTCAAGCATGGAGCAGGGGACTTGAGGCTAAAAAGTCAGGAAAGCTACTCACCTGCTCCACCGTCACTGTTGCACTTCATCATCTACGAATAGGCGTTTGCGTCAAGTACAATCTGACATCGCGTACTATATGTGATCAATCATGGATCAATGTCATCCACTGCTCCCTGTAGGCTGTACTGTCTGATGCCACGTGCCTGTGATGTTGACCCCCGTGGTTGTCCGAGGTCCCTGTTCACTCTTTTCACTTGACAATCAGTGGGTCGTACAGTCTCCAGCCACCAACCTCCCCAGTCAAGGGCAAGGGACCAGCACTCGATTGACAGCTGCGCAGCCTCCGCAACCTTAACCTGCTTAAGGTAGCAGGGGACGACCACGAGGCCTGGTCCACGTGACAGGCCGTTGCCCAAGGTGGAACGGAACTGGACGTACGGCAGCATCAAGGGCAAGACGAGCAGGGTCTGGGGTACTCCTAGAACTATATGAGGCTCCGCGTGAGCGGAGCTCACGCGGAGCCTCATAGTTCTAGGAGTAGGTCTGGGGCAGGAGCTTGGAGGCGCCGAACATGACCAAAAAGTAGGTCGCCTCCTCGAGATTTCAGACAGAATGCTATTGCTACCAAGCCCCGTACGCTACTGGATGCATGTGGAAAGCTTGAATGCGCTCTTGTTCCTTCTTGCGTAGGTTTGGGGTGGAATCCCCCCCCCCCCTCAACTTTTTCCGCGACACCATTCCTTTTTTTCTTTTAAGGTTAAGTCCGACTTGAGTCAAGTCTACACAGAAAAGAAGTGCATGCTGAAGTATGGTACCCGCTCCCTATGTGCCCAGTTTAAACAATATCATATAGAGGAACCAAACTAGACCATTATCCCGTGTGTGTCATCAGCTGGAAATCCACACGTGAGATAATTTTCCGTTGTGGAACTGAGTTAAAACTTGATTAAATATCCGTAAATACCATTGAAAATGGCTGGTTTGAGTCAGCAACAGCAGATGCAGCTCTTGGCAGAGTTGGAAATCGAAATGATGGCTGACATGTACAACAGGTTAGTGGCATTATGATTATTTTATTTTATTTTATTTTATTTCATTTTACATGTATTTTAATTTTATTTTATTTTATTTTATTCTATTCTATTTATTTCATTTTATTTTATTTTCATTTATATTTATATTCTATATAATTTATTTATATATTTATTTATTTATTTACTTATTTACTTATTTATTTATTTGTTAACTGCTTAATTTTATAAATATTCTATTTAATGAATTTTATCCTAAATGTATTAATCACTGTTATCCAATTAGTTTGGAGAGCCCCTCGACAGAAACTTGTTTCTTTTGGGTAATCCTGCGGGAGCTTTTTGGGTGTTGTTTTCTGTTATGTTTTCTGTTATGTTTACTACTCTGTGTTATTTGTACATGTAATTGTTTTGTCTATGATTCACTGTTTGTAATATCCCGGAAAATGAAATAAATAAATAAATAAATAAGAATTCGACCATGCGTATGTTCCCGGTGTTGCTAATTCGCGATTGGTGATCGTGTAGCCCTAGTTGCGGGCCCCTTTATCCCTAGGTTCGACCAAATAAGACTAGAGTCAAGGGTATTTTTTATCATTAAAAACCTAAATCGTACTTCTCTCAATTCTAATGACACCTTGTTTGTTATGTTAAAAAGTATATTTTTTTTAAGTAGGCCTAGAAATTACAATTTTTGTGTGCGGTTTAGGCCTACCGTCAATTTGCATGGCATGGTTGGTGTTAGCTCTACTGAGTGGAGCGTTGAATTGGGGGTCAGACAAGTCGACCGTTGAGACAACTCGACTCGGGACAAGTCGACCGTTGAGACAACTCGACCGTTGAGACAACTCGACCGTATGTGCGATAAATGGAAAGACAAGTCGACCGTTGAGACAAGTCACCTCGCATGTTTTTGGGCCTAGTTTTGGGGATAGTACCGGGGATGTTTGACGGCGGCTGATCGCCGTTTGGGAGTGATGACACATGAGGATTTTTTGTTGCATATAACAGAGCCGATATAGCGCAGCGTAATTGTTTTTGCCGGGCCTGTGCGCCCACTTGCCGTGCCGGTTGACATGCCCGCGTGCCGGGCCGGGCCCGGTCCTCGCGGGCAGGGCGCGCCGGCCCAACGCGACGGCCACCGGATCGGATCGCCCTCTGTGTATCGAGTATGCCCGCACCGCGCCCGGGACCGGTCCTGCCACAGATTTTTGCAACTTTTTCAGCTCCACGTGTATACATTTCCATTAAGTCGAGCTGTGTCAACGGTCGAGTTGTCCCGAGTCGAGTTGTCTCAACGGTCGACTTGTCTCAACGGTCGAGTTGTCTCAACGGTCGACTTGTCCCGAGTCGAGTTGTCTCAACGGTCGACTTGTCTGACATTCGTTGAATTACGGGTACCCCTCCATACAAACCCGTAATTCAACGCTCCACTCAGTAGAGCTAGGTTGGTGTCTGCGGTTTACAGTTGGTGTCTCCGGTTCAGCGCGCCTTGCACGTTCACGAACACAATACATTGCGGTGATTGCCATCTTTACTTTTGTGTTGCATTCTGTTTCATGGGAGAGCTGCACGTTATGGGATTTCAATTCCACCATTGATAATTGATGAATTAATACTTCTTTTTACTTGCATTTTTTTTTCGCACCCAAACTCCTTCTGATTTGGAAATCACAGGTGTGTGGAAAAAGGCACACCTGGATTTTTCTAGGTGTGTGTTTTTTCTAGGTGTGTGGTTTTCTAGGTGTGTGATTCTGTGGTCCAGGAAAATTCAGGCGTGCAATTATTCACACTTCTCGGGAAGCTTTTAGGTGTGCGATGGCGTGGGGGTGCGATCGCACACCTCAAATCAGAAGGACTGCACCCAGAACTTCACTTCCTCGTGCAGAAATCTCTCAAAAAAGTAACCCTGACTGATCTAAATCTCTTTAAAGTTTGGGAACAATGTTTTTTAGGGCCTCGGACCATTCATTCTTTTTGCTCAGAGTCAGACCGACAATTTTTTGATAAGTTAGTGTTTTTTATGCGATCAACCGCATGCAGTAACGTTATTTGGGGGGGGGGGGGGGCTCGACCATTTTCTAAACGGGGTGGTTATCTTTTTTTCCGTATGCACCAGCCATATCGTTATATATCACTGTTGCACACTGATGTAAGGTTCATATCACGACTCCACATTGGTGATTTCCAAATTTCTTTCTTTACCCAGAATGACCACAGCCTGTCAGAAGAAGTGCATAGCTGCGTCCTACGGAGAGGGGGACTTATCAAAAGGGGAATCCGTCTGCCTGGATCGCTGCGTGGCCAAGTATCTGGAGGTGCACGACAACCTGGGGAAGAAACTGACCGAGAAATCCATGCAGGACCAGCAGCTGGGTTTACAGCAGCAGCAGCAGCAGCAAGCCGGCGAAAAGAAGAGCTAGTGACATCGGACTGGCCGTTAGTCGTTTGTTTTAATTGCAAGGTGTTTTTGTCTGGAGTCCAGATACATGCAGCTGCCGGTTCCTGGGTCAGCTTGCTGGCGTGAGAAAAACTGGAACTCTACCGGTGAAGTGTCGGAACAGGTTTCCACCATGTGGAGCAACTTGTTTTTGAACGCAGCGTTACTGAAGCAGAATTGTTTGTCAACTTTTCTTAGAGACACGGAAACTGTCAATGGCTATCTTGATTACATTTTTAACTGCGCGGAAGTCTACAAAACTGGTTGAGGCATGTGATAAAAAATGTTGATAATAAAATAGGCTGGTGCTTATGTTGTGTTATATGGTCAACACATTTATGACACAGGTACCAAGATGGCTGTCATTTTGTTTGATTACTCCTGCTATTTGAAGAGTCACAGACAGTCAAAATGTCCATCCACCTCCCCTGCTATACTTTTAACACAGGCTAGTCACCAGCAGTCAGATCATATGCCAAGCAAGCGCTGTGACTAGTCAAACAGGGACAACAGACAAAGCAGGCAGGTTGTAGTCACAGCTGGTTTATCACTCACCCGAACCCGGAGTCAAAGTATAGCTGTACCAAGTAATACTTAAACAGTCCCAGCCAGTCAATCTGCATATGTAATATATGCCTAACCAAAACGACGAAGTGTGTCAACTTTCATGGAACAAAACCAGCACACTTGTTTTCCGTACGATTACTCAAGGAATACCTGTTGTATTGAATTGAAATGTCGTTTATTTATTAGTCGTCAAATATAAAACAAGTCTGTTGAATCTCGAGAACAATAAAAATATTATAACCACAACAATATATACATGTAGTGTGTCAAGCGCGAAAAATACAAGCCAACTACACATTTTCTTTCAAAAGAGGGGCATGATGGACAAACTGTTTCATCTTACAAAATAAACTGCACAACTTCATCAATTTTCGCATTGCATGCAATTTTTTATTCCATCGATCATATTAAAAAATGTCAGTAAAACCAACAGTACCTTTTAAAGTATCCATTTCTGTTCCTGACTTTGTCAGCATGGTCAGTGCTCAAAGTTAATCATAAATTTGTCAGACAAGCCTTTTAATCAATAATTTATGCAAAAGAATTTTGATCCTTGAATAAATAAGACATAATACATGGGCATGGGCGTCGCCAGGATTTTTTCTAGAGGGGGGCAAAACAAATTTTGGCCAAAAAATGGTTGTTTTTCTCAACACATTCTCGATTTATCAGTTTTAGAGGGGGGCAGGGACATTTTGGCCCCCCCCCCACCTCATTAAATTTACACCACTTTGTCTTAGCGCCTCTTTTTCTTTTTCTTTTTTTTTTTTTTTTTTTCTTCTTTTTTTTTGTTTTTTTTTGCTTTTTCAGGGGGGGGGGCAAGTGCCCCCTTGCCCCCCCCTGCGACGCCCATGTACATGGGTCTTTGCAAACGTTGTCTATAAATACATGTTCAGACTTTCAAAGTCAACAATAGCTTCAGTTGTTCACTTTCAGTTAAATATTGAAGGCAAGCAGTAAGAACATGATTTCACTTTTTAACTTTCCGAGCCTTCTTCAAAATACACCTGTTTTTTTGGAGGATTTTTGGAAGATCCTAGACCTGTACTAGACCTTTATCATGCAGCCACCATTTCAGTCATGTTCCCTGTATCAAATAACAGTACTGAATGATGATATTTTTGTGCAAAAAGGAACCAGACTACTCTTCCTTTCAGCCTCGTTTTGGTTACGTTGCTTTGAATGGGAAAAAATCAAGATGGCCGCAACATGATGATGGTCTATATACTTGGCCATGTTTACAGGTCTAAGGAAGAGCCGAGCTGCTGTTACTTTTGGGGTGAAATTGGGGAATTAAGAAAAACAAATCCACAAAATAATCGGTAGAGGGTTTGAGGGTTGCTGATGACCCCAAGCAATTAAGCAGCTAGTTGAATATGCCTAAAAGCATACCCATTTCTTTGTTCTAAATAAACTTTCATAGCGAAGAACACCTTTACGGTAAAACCTCAGGAATTCCAGATGTCAAAAAGGCATTCTTTGAAAATCAGGAAAAACCTCACCCCTGTACTTTTTAAATGGGGCTTAAATTGAGGTATAAAAATGAGCCACAAAGAGCATATGCAGTTCTTAAAGAAAGCTGTCTTGTGAAAATATCTAGGGAGATTATACTTCGCTTTGTACAATGGCTTTAAACAGTTCAATAGTATGGCTGCGTCCATATTACATGGCTATGGCTCGTAGTTACACTTGTGTCTATGGAAAGTGGATCCAGCCCCTTCCACATAGCCACAGCCAAAACATTCAGATGCTGTCTAGGGCTTTACAAAATCTGATCCTCCACCACAGCAAACAATCTGGACGATTCACAATGCAGTGCGCCACCAAGAGTTCGCCATGGAGAGTCCATTTTTCTAGTTTACGGTTGACAAAACAGGGCCCATTTGAATGAGTGTCAGTAGACAACTTGAACTAATTTGTTATATGGATTGGGGCATAGCATTCTGCTGCCTCACAAAAAAACACCACATTGATAAAAAGAAAAAAGGGGAAAATAGATACTCGAAGCACACCTTTACGAAACTACTGACTGGACAAACGAACAATTTCAAATGTCCCGCGCTGTGAATTTGTCGACAATCTCCCACAATGCACTGGGAAAAATGAGCTCTTCGTGGCAAACTCTTGGTGGCGCACTGCATTGTGAATCGCCCGAATTACATGTATACAGGGTGGTCCCAAAAAATGGAACGGCATACTTCCACTACCTTGAGACTCAAACCACCTGTATCAATTGATGGAAAATCCTTTGAGAAAAATTACAATACCAAAATTTCCGATTCAGTCCAGTAGTTTTTGCTGCAGAGCCTATTTTGTGAAGGATACTTCTTTCATGTGGGTATTATTAGATAACAATCCCTCTGTCAATTACAATGTACATGCAAGTCAAATTCCCGGGTGGGGTTTAGTAATTCATCAGGACAAAAATGACCCTACCTTGCTTCACAAAATAGGATCTTGGTTTCATTTGTCTTCTATAAAGATTCTACATGCGTTGGTATATGTGGTTTGGGAGTATGAGGTTCTTGGTTTTATGTTTGACCACCCTGTATATGGACTCTGGGCTCAAGTACCCCCAACAGAGGGACATTCGAAAACATTGACGACAACGTCAAAACGCTCGCGCGAAGACATTCTAAGGTGGTGCACATTTAAAATAAATGTAGTCATGCGCACTTTACGTAATACACACGCGAAGCTTACGGGATGTGTTGTCCCCACTGGGGATCTCAAAAGTGATCACAAAGAGCCATTTATTGCTCACACACACAGCCCATATCACATAAACATGTTCATGTACAGTATGTACATGTACAGTATAATATAGAAGAAGAAAATACATTCATACAGCACATGAAGCACCAACAAAAAGTATACTAAGTATTCTTACAATATAAGCACTTAAAGCAGCAGAAAAAAACAACTATATACCGATATTTAATATGAAATAAATATTTCAATATATATTTCTACTTGACGAAACCTTTGCACTACCCCACCACCATTACCATTTCTAATGAAATATTTTTTGTTTGCCTTGTTAGTATTTCATACTTTCCCTTAGAAATTTTAAGGAATACAAGCTATATCAAACTTTAAGTGAGTACTTTAAGGAAACAAATAGGAACATAAACATGTAATTATATTACTTGAATAAGTACTTGAATAAGTACTTGAATAAAGTACTCAGAGAACAGACTTTCAAACCTTAAATTTTTTTTTATATATTCCAATCCTCAAAATCTTTCAAACTCCACCAGATTTTGTAGGATGTTGCACCATGCAGGTTTTAGGAAGGAAAAGCCTGTTTAACCCTAACTCCCTAGCATGATTTACTAGGAACCATACCCATCCTGGCAAATTCCAACACCATATGGGAAACTGCACACACATATTTCTGACTTTGTTTCTGGAGGTGTGCCAACCCAATGTAAAAGACTGTCAGTTTAGGGGCACTGTACCCATCCTGACAGATTCCAACAAAACATGCTATTGGGGTTGGAAGGGTTGAGTTCTGTTTAATGAATGGAAATACATATGTGCTTAGCTGATATTAAACAAGTACAGTCGAGTCTCGTTATAACAAACTAGTTCGGACCTAGCCAAATTGTTTGTTATATCAGAATTTTGTATTAAGAGGAACATCAGTCCCATTCATTGTGCACATAAATGCACAGTCGGGACCAAGGCTTTATCTTTGTTATAACCAGAATTTTGTATTAACAGAGTTTGTACTAACGAGAGTCGACTGTACATTTAAAACCCGCTAGGGTCCTGGACGCGCATAATGGCCCGAGCCGAAGGCCAAGCACATATTTATTCCGGTAATATTTGTGTCGGTTACTTTGTTACTTGTTAAATTTGAGTCATCAAAATATCTCGGTGAAATTTGAGGCTTTCTTTTACAAGACACAAGATCAAGGTTTAAGAAAAAAGAAGCCAAAACTTATTGGCTAACAAAGTAACAATCCCCCACCTCTTTGTTAATTACTAACACGATAGAGAGAACAATCCAAATTTTGTCAATCACTCAAATCTTGATTCACTACTCATGGCCATTGGCTTTTTAAGCATTAACTGGAACGCTTCATGCCCCCCCCCCCCTTTCCGAGAATCTCAGACTTCAAGTTAGTCACCCCATGCAGCCAACCCACTTTCGAAAATCCTGGAGCAGATACTCAGTGTTCTCCAACTTTGAAAATTAAAGGTTGGTGCGCCGTCAAAAAGCGGAGGGGGGGGGCACTATAATTATGTTAGGGGCCTTATTTGCAGATGAACATGCAATTTATGCACGGATAACAGCTTTTAGGCCGTTTCTAACACAGTAACTATTAAGTAGAATATTGGCTCAGCATCATCTCTTTTTAACTCATCAGTGACCAGGGACTCTCGAGGCAGTTTGGCCTTGAGACTTTTGATCCGATGGATTGCTACAATGGGCAGGCTTCTCAGTTTGACGAGTGTTGCATGTTACTGCTTTTGGCAGAGTTTCTGGCCAAATATACCCTGGCGGCCTAAGGGTAGTCCCACTTGTTTGTCTTTTTTTATTATTTTTTTCCTTTTTTTTAAGCATGGCGGACAACTTTTTAAGCTTGGCGGCAACTTTTGAAGCTTGGCGGGTGCCTCAGGGTGCCCCAGAAAGCTTGGCGGGGCACCATGCAGGTTATATTTACAGGTTGGAGAACACTGAATACTGCATTTACATGTACATTAAGTTTACCATCTACCATTTGATGAACTAATAATACATTTGTAAATCAGTGGTTCAAGTAATCACACAGAAAACTTTTTTTAGGAAGTTCTGTTCGTCAATCGTCTGGTTCCGCCCATCAGCGGCGCGTTTTCTTCGGCGGAGTCGTTGGGGGCCTGATCAGGGTGATTGTTGCTCAGAAAGGTGCGGTCGTAGGCGTTGTTGTCCAATTCAAACTGGGAGGGGGTGTTTGGCGTACAGCCCCTGGGGCCCCAGTAGATCAGAGCATTCAGGAAGGCTTGTAAGGGATTCATAATTGCCTGCCATTTATTGGGGAAAAAGAAAAAATGATGTCATTTAGGGCTATGATTATGTTTCATTTTGTAAAGTTTAAAACTTGCATTTGAGTCACTATAACATCGATTCCCAGTCTTGAGTCACCCATTCTGAGTCCTGCAGGTCCAGTCTGAGTCACAAAGGTCGAGATAAAGTCTGAGTCACGAGTCACCTTTAAGTACTGTATATTGGTAGGTTCTGCCTGGCAAGGCACCAGCGATCATCTGGTACCAAACACTATCAAGCTTGCATTTACGCAAGTATCAAGTGTGGATGCTGGGGTACATTTCAAAACAGGGAAGTTATAAGGCGATTCAGACAGCAAATAACTCTTCTTTGTAAATTGAAATACATGTACGTTAAAATGAGGATCACTCCAGTGAAAACTCTGAGTGAAACCACGACCTAAATGATGGAATGAAGTGTCTTGTCCCTACAAGTACTTGCGGCCAGATCAAATGGATTTCAAGTTGGATGGAGTACCGTTGCGCGGGCCGCCATGTCCCCCAAGTTCGTAATTATAGCCAGATCAACATAAACGAGTATTTTTCAAACTTTTATCAGTAGGCAACATAAAGTCGTACTCCTGTGATGTGTCCATTGTTGCCATGATTTTGATTTCATCAGTGTTCTTCGTTTTTTTTTTTTTGTCGGCACAACTGAAGTAAAATGTGCATAATTATAGTGATATTCTTTAATGCTCTGCAATTGTTTGATGTAATAACTTCCAAAAAGAAATACCTCAAAACAAAGATAAAGGCACAAATAAAGGCGAACCTTAAAGATATAGTCCATCATTTGTAATTTGTGCATTTTATTCGTTTGAAGCAACGAAAGTGCTCAAAATCTAAACAAGGGTGCTGAACGACTAACCTGATGAAGTTTCAGCTCAGCTTCAGCTGTATATTCCGAGAAAAACAGCATTCTAGGATCTCAATTTCAAATCAAATGTTGCTAAATCATGTTTTGAATTGGGCCTGAATTCAGCGTCCGAGACGCGTTCTCTCTGCATGAGCCGATTGCAGCTACGCGATGTCGCGCACCGATCCGACGAATTATAGCAACCGCGCGTGCGTGTGCATCGTGCCAATGCTTGAGCGCGCTTCGCCGAATAACAAAACGAACTACTAATTTAAGTTTCCTACGGTGCGTCTTAAGAAGCACCGTTGGAAAGGCCTTCTTTCGTTGATTACTTCAAAATGACAGCTTGCCAGAAAGAATAATTTCACAGGGAGTTAATAGTCCCCTTACTATCTTTCAACCAAGTATGTTTTTCAACAATAATTACGCCAGTTACTTTTCGGATAGCTGCTTATGATGGACTATAGCTTTAATGTGCTTCTCATACCAATGGCGGCATGTTTCAATGCATTGATTTCCAAAATCAGTATTTTGGAAACAAGCCAGCTGCACACGCTGTGTATGTACAGTACTTTTAACCCTAACCCCTTGGGTGTATTTACTAGAAAGTATCCCGAATCTTCCAAAATCCATCAATTTCGCCAAGCAAACAAATTGCTGGTGGCCAGTGAGTCCACCAGAATCCACCAGTTAGCCGGGAGTACATCTGTTGAGATCCTGAATCCATCAAAATCCCCCAACTGATCCATATGGAGGTATCCTAAATCCATCAAAATCCTGCAGTACCGCTAGGCTTCATGTCCTGAATCCATCAAAATCCCCCAACTTTTTCAATGTGGAGGTATCCTGAATCCGCCAAAATCCCCCAAACAGGGGTGTGGATTTTGATGGATTCAGGTACGTTAGGGTTAATAGATTGGTTTCTTCTGCATCGCACTGACTACATCGCTTGCTCGGGAAAGGATCGGTTTCAAAATAAATTATGTTGTTGAAAAAAGAAGTGAAATGTGGTAATTTTGGTCGTGTCGTGAGTCCAAGTCCAAGTCATTTGTCATCATGAGTCATCAGTCCGAGTCCGAGTCACTGAAAATGGGACTGGAGTTGGACTCGAGTCCCAACAATGACTCATGAGTCACACAAGTCTGTTGAAAATACAATGCCTCACAGATTTCGCCTGTGAAATGCAACTTTCCAACTTAATGGTTGATTTCCTACATTTTCCTGCAGTAAATCATGGTTTTTCATTGTTTATATGCAGTTTTTTATTTGTCATGTACAAACGTTTTGTAGGAAACATTCATGTTAAGTGGGCCGTTAAAAACAAATAGGAAATAGAAAAGAATAGTAAAACTGCCGTGTCCTTGCCAAATGCTAAAATGAACTGATTGGCAACATCAGCAAGCAGATATAGGTATCCCACAAAGTTCAGATAGTCTCGGGAATGATTTATATGCTTGCTGGGTAGGGGTAATAATTAATGTACTCACCATAGCAACCCAGATGACTGCAGTGAAGGTTGAATATGTATGCCAATTGGTTTGACCGATTGCCAGGCTATGTAGAAGAATGCAACCGTTGATGACATTTGGTAACCAGCTGAAAATGAAAAACCACCAAAAAAATTAACAACGGCGTAAATCCATGGAGTTTATTAGCAAATTTTTCCTGCTGAGCAAAGATCAGCTGAGACCACTTCTCAAAAGAGATTATTCTACATGGCGTTACACCATGCAAATTTTCAAATCTAATGTAGGTAATGGATGTGGAAATCCTGAGCCGAAGGCGAGGACAGTTAAATGTCAGCGACCATGCCCCTAGTCGGTTTTAAACATACTTGTTTAATACAGGGGAGTCAGGTTGGCGTAGCGGTACTTTCCTCGCCTTCCACTGCTGTGACCCGGGTTCAAATCCCGCCTGGGCCAATATGTGGTTTGAGTTTTCAGTCCCTGCCTGATTCCGTGGGTTTCCCCAGAATATTCTTCTTCTGGGCTTTCCCTCCCACCTCTAAAACTGTGACTCTTCTCGTTGTCTTCTCTCCACAGGTTGCTTTTGAGGAATCCTTGGTTTCATTACCAGAAATGATTAATAATAATAATACCGGCCAAGCATATATTCCCATTCATAAATACCTTTCGGTCAAAAAGTCAAAGCAGGTCAAAATTATAAATTTTGAACGATTTTTGTTAAACAATTTTACTTCATACTTTGTGAAACACCCCTCTAGCTAAGTTTATGGTGTAAGCCTGGCATGCGCACCAGCAGTACCCAGAAAACTCCTGATATGGCTTATACTGCGTAATGGGGCGCAGAATGCAGCGGTGCCGATGCAGTGTGAATTTAGGACTCTATGGAATGCGCACTCATTGGTGTTTAAACCCAGTCGGTGTTTTATCAACCGTTTATAACCACCTACGTGACTGGCTCTCCACCAATAGAAATGGGTAAACTGTCAACTGTGAATTGATATTTATGGACATCTGTCACTCTTGTTTTGTATGTTTGTTTGTTCGTTTGTTTGTTTGACATCACAAGTGACATGGTCTTTATTAAGCAAAGGTTAAAGACCAACAGCGTACATTTTTTATTTTATTACCTTTTTTTAAAATGTGTCATTTCATCGATCTAATTCAAACCTACCACAGGGTGAAGACGAGGACAAAGCGAAAGAATTTCCGCTGAACCTGGCTCTGGATCGCACGTTCCCTGTCCGTGAACATGTTACCTCGCATCAGCAAAGGACCGACTAAAAACAAGAACGATGGAAACATGAAAAGTACTTATTTTAATGCTTTGCCAAAGCTTCCAACTTGTGACGAAGAGAAAGTTGAGAGACATCATTTTGGGATAGCTATTAATTATTAATTTCATAATTACGATCTTTACTTCCATGATTTGTAGTCCATTAGGCCAAAAAAAGGTCTCCCGTTTCTGGTATGAAGATTGCCCCTAAAGTGGTGCAGTGACGCAGGGCCCCCCCCCCCAACTTTTTTTTTTCATGTTGTTGCAGATGATGCTTTGAGCCCATTAAAAATCTAAAAAAATATCCTTCCGAGTGGAGCTTGAGGTGATTGAGAATTCTGCACCTACTTATGATCTCGACTGATACGAATATTCTTAAGGAAATTGGGATTGACAGGACAAAAATCAGAGAAAACGGTAACGTTAGATCGTACAGCAACATCGACATCGTGCATGTGCTGCCAGGCTGGTCATTAGTCTCAATAGTCTGCTTCCTTACATATTGTGCTAATTAAAAAGCGTTTACACGTTCCAGATACACGACCATTGCTCCCTCAGTATGGCTTCCAGACGTACAATTACAATATTGCAACACCCTCTGCAAATGGTGCCAGACTAAATTTAGTGCAAAACATATGGGAGCCCAGAGAGGCCAAATAAAGCTTATACTTGATCGTAACCCCATCTAAAAAAACACATTCAAATTGTGCAGCAGCAGGAATCCAATCAACCCAGTGAGTTTGGCAGTTTTGAGACATCATCCTACATTGAGACATCATCTTACATTGCATTTCTGCGCAGACCTGCACCCGATTTCATCAAACTCTTCGTAACTTACGATGCATCGCAGCGCTGCGACGCATCGTATCCCTACGACGCGTCGCAGCTGCGACGCATCCTGCGATCCATTTCACGAAACACGTCGTAAGTGCGACGCGTCGTATGTGTATTTATAGCACAACTCGGTGACTGTTTTATGTATTTAGTCAGCGTACAGTAAATAGTTGTCTGATATTCAACAATGAGTCGTCGGATCTCAGCTCGAAATTTGTTAAAACGTAAAACAAAATGGCGGTCGTGCGATGCAATTTTGAAGGAAAACAAGCTCTCAGTGTACTGTGTAGCTACTTTGAAATTTCAACTCTAATATTCCGGTCTAATTCATAATTATTCAATGAATTTTCCATTTACAACTTTACACACATTGCCTCGGTGTTATAATCTCGTTAATGTAATTTTTTTTGCATAAAACTGGCTTAGAAATGACTCTTCTTATTTTGCGATGGCCACTAGACACGTCTTAACTTGCGACGTGTTTTAAGCCGTTGTCAAGGAACTTACGACGCGTTCAACACATTGCAACTTTTGTGAAATGGAAGATACGACGCGTCGCGAGTTGCGACGTGTTACAAGTTGTAACTCGAGTTGCGACGCGTCGCAGCGCTTCGTGAAATCGGGTGCAGAAACCAGAGCCTTTTTTTGGCCTTAGCCAATATATCTAATAATTACCTTTCTTAGCAGAGAACAGGTACATGACAGGGTTGAAGACCAGCACAATCAGCATGGGTATGTAGGACATCAGGTAATGTGGCAACAGGCTCTGCCAGCTCTTAAAGGCTGGGTCACACTGGAAGCTACAAACAAACAAAATACAGAAAATCAAAAAGTGCTTGGACGGAGTTACCAATCACAGTCAGTTTCAAGCTATCACACGCAGGATGATGCAAATTCAGTCTTAAATTTGTTTGGATTAATGCAGTAAAAGACAGTGTTGTACAAAATGTAGTCAAGTCTATTACAAGTCAATAGCAAGTTTTGCCCTTCACTGACGTACATGTGTATTAAACACTGCAAACTCAGTGTGTTACTCGGGAGGGAGTCGAACCCACAATCGCCTGCGCTTAAGTGCAGACATCTTACCACTTGACCACTGAGCGTGCGGGATCAGTTGGCTGATTCAAATCTGATGTTCACTACATGGGATTCCGCGATCATTCAAATAATTTCTTCAGTTTGTTGACTTGCTTCAATCTCACTCACTGGATGTCAGCCATCTTCCAAATTTGGTAGCCAGTAGTACATATATAGTTACTGATGTCGACCCGCGAGCTGGATATAGACCTTTTGGGGACAAACACTGGGGGCGCACTGTATTGTAAATCGCTTCTATTATGATTCACATGTCATGTGTCCTCTGGCAAGCACCTTTTTTTCTGATTGCTTCACATGGCATAACAATTCACCTTTCTGGGATACTGAATTGTTAAAAACTGTTGAATAACTTGCAGAAAGTGATTTAACAATACAAAAAGCATTTGCTCACTCATTTGGGGATGACTGGTACATAGCAATCAGTCCAGCGGACACCATGATGGCTGGGACGAGCCAGGCCAACACCAGGTAGACACGAAACATTTTCCTGAATGATAGTTAAAAATTAAGAAAAAATAATATTTTATACTTATTAATTACTGAACAGGACAAGTAATCTTGCTGTGTAATGTTTTGTAAACATTTGAAAATTCCTTATGTTGAACTACTGTTCGAGAAATGGTTACTCACATTTTCAACTCCTGGGTTTTCCTAAAACAGAAAGAGCGTGCAGTCCAGTGTGTGTTCTGAATATGCTATTATACTGAAGTATAAATGTGAGGGGTTCTGGCGGCATATGACGGAACTGGGTATACATGTAGTAGGCGGTAGCCGAGAAAAATGGCAAGAAAGCGAATGGGGTTATTTTTTTCTGAATTTACGATTTATTGATATTTGTAATCACGTTGCAGAAAATTGCAGTCAGGCAAGATGGCGTCAGTCCATCATCCCCAACTGTACTTCCTTTGCCGGTGAAGGGGTGCTTATGAACCGAGCGGATAGTGGTGTTCCACTGTATATCAACTCAAGCATTCCAACAGTGTCTGGCTATCCTCATATGAAATGGTCATCTTGAATTGGATTAACCCTAACCGCCCTGAATCCTCCAAAATCCTTTTTGCAAATTGGAGGAATTTGCAGGATTGCGGTTACATGGCAAAAGTGGGTTGCTGATTTCGGAGTACGCACTGCGTCAAGGTCTTGGGCCGGACCTTGTGTTGTTTATGCTCAGCCATGCATAAATTTAGTCCTTGATTATACTTGACATCCTCCGCACTGCTCCAGGATGTCACTGCCTCTGCCTCAGCCTTTTGACAGTCATAGCCGGAGGATTTTGCAGGATTCAGGCAGTGGTCACCCCTCCATGGACCATAATCAAGAAATAACGGAGGAATTTGCAGGATTGAGGCTATATGCTATTTTTCCATGAGGTCAATTGGAGGATTTTGCAGGATTGAGGCTACATCCTAGCAAAAAGGCCTAGAGAGTTAGGGTTAATAATTGAATTTCTTGCTGTCAGACCCTTACCTGTTGTTTCCTCTCAGCATCAGGTGAACGTCAAGTGCGTAGAAGAAAGTCCAAAAGTATGTGGCTACGTAAAAGTACTGTATCCATGCCTTTAAAACAAGAAGAAATAGAAATTGTTGCAAAAAAGAGTATGGCACAGTCACTTTTCCCAAGGTGAAGGGGGGGGGGTTGGATTTACCAGAGAAAAATGACAATTTTCTTACCACGGAATCTAAAAGGCTGGATTTTTTTGGGGGGGGAGGGGGCTGGCTACCATGCAATAGTCGGTGGGCGCTGCTTCTGATGGAGCATGTGTATGTTCACAGCTGTTTTTATCGTTGACTTTATATGTACAAACTTTTCACCCAAGCGGCTTCATGGGCACAACGCCTACTTTGAGCACTATCAACTCGAGAGCAACACATACATTAACGCTTTGCACTTTCTTATTTTCTGTTCTTCCTTTCTTTTCATGTTTGAATTTTGCCTCTGAACCTCCTAATTTTTTAGATGGTCATCAGATGATCAGAGTGTTTTTTTCATCCTGGCAATCATTGATATCTCGTTCTCTTATTGTTGGAATAGCATATTGGTAAAGAATCATTTTGGTAATATATTCAAGCAAATTTTTTCTTTATAGTATGGGATAAATTCTTTAATTTTTTTTAATGAGTTTTTCTTACTGTAGTCACAATACAAATCCATCGCAGCGAGGCACTTTCACTGATATCAACTGTAATGGATCCCACATCGGCTAAACCACAGATGGCTATGATTAACACACCTAAGAGAAGATTTTAAAAGAAAAAAAAAAGATTCTTAAAGACTTTTAGATGTGTTATTTGATATGATTGTGATTTATGAGGTTCACTGATAAGGGTGTGGGTATACTGCACTGTGTGCTTTGCATTGACCCTAACCCCCTGGTAGTTTCTCAGGACTACCCTGCTAAATCAAACAGAGTCCAACGGTAGTCTCCTGCTCAATCCACTGTGCCTCATTGCATGTCTGCTGAATCCAACGGAGTCCAACTTGGTGTTACAATGTGATTCAGTTGCCTGCTGAATCTAACACATTGCAATCAGAAATGTACACCAGGGGTTTATAGCTCAATCCAACAGGCTCAATCGGGTACATGATGTAGTTGAATCCTGTTGGACTCAGTAGGGTATTAAGGGGTAATAATTAATTAATATTTGATTACTTGCGAGAGACGTCTTTGCAAGTACAGTGTACATGTACTTGAGTTAAAAAAAGTCACTACTTGCCCAGCACAACTCTGTAAGTGGTTAAGCTTTGGCCTCAACCAAGTGTTTTTTTAGTACTGTTGGTCAGTGAATTTGAAAATTTGGGGCAATTAGTTCTTTTTTAAAAAGTTTTCCGTCACATGTCAGTTCGTCGGTCGCACCACGAACCGGCGTATCTCGATTTTTCGCCAAATTGAGTTTTTGTCATTAACGTTATTATTTCATCAAAGTGCTCATTCTCAGAAAGTTTTATTCCGATCGGAGTTCTAATTAACTAAGAACGCTAATTAGATTGTGCGGCGTATCTCTAAAAAATGAAAAATGCTGCACCACGAAGTGGCGTATCCCGATACGCCGCTTTACACGCTAATTCCCATAGTGCTATGACGTCACAAAGCAGCGTCGACATGAAAATTGGAATTAAGCGTTTCACGAACCGACGTATCTCCGTATCTGGCACACGGCCACTATTACGCGCGTTGTATAACATAGGAAAAACATGATAAAAATCTGTTTCACGAAGTGACGAATAACTTTGGAGCAGAATTTCTCAAAAACTGAGCAACTCAGATGCACACGGATTGCATACAATAAAGTTCAATCTATAATTTACCAGCAAAAACGAAACAGCTTGAATTCTTACACAGAGAGTATATGGAATGAACCTACAAAATAATGACCAACTTTAAATCGGTTTTTCTCGACACTCAAAAAAATGCGATACGTCGGTTCGTGGTGCAACCGACGAGTTATTCCACCGGTACTTCATAACCAATAGGGCCTACTCCCCTGCCTTTACACTAGTCTATGTAATAGACCACGGCGAAGCCATTTAAGTAAATTCGCTGATTAATTATGCAAGACAACCGCCTCTTGACCTCTAGACTTTGATCAATCAGCAGGCGCCTTCTATATCAGGTTTTCGGTCATTCACCCGTTGTCGCGTCATAGACATGGATAAAATAACTTAGATACAGTAACAAAGGCTGTGATCACGCGCTCTGTATTATGTTACGCGATAAGTGCCCGGCCGTTTTGTTGTATTCCAAAACATTGCAATTGAATTTACTAATCAAAGGTTTAGTCCTGATTTGGGAATGAAGTGACTTAGTAAAGTCAACTCCAATTGGCTGAGGCACAGGATCGCATAAATCTGCATGCTTAGATATATCAGAAGCTATACGGAGACTGGTTTCCGTGGATAACAGGCGACACTCCAACAACTTTTACATGTGCATACAAACCAATCTGGGGCAATTTTATTGAGAAAAATGTCCACATTCCCAGGCTGTAAGCCATTGACCAATGCACTCACCGAGACATGCCAGCACGTCAGCCACAGACAACCAGGTCAGGATCTTTTTCTGTCTCTCCACGGCACGGAAGGACCGCCGCTGCCTTTGCACGTAGAGGTACGACTTCTTAGGGAGGAGGATGTAGACTGCGCCCAGGATGCTCAGACAGGAGGACAGGATGGCACAGATGTTGAAGGTGAGGAGGAACGTCACCTTCTCGTCGTCTTGGTGCACGGCCTTTCCCGTTCTGGGTGAAACCGTGGCAGGGACACTCAGGTTGCGGACCAGGCAGCACACCAGGTCAAGGGTCGGGGTCGCCATGATGATTAAGAGCAAAAAGAGCAAATGCAGCGTGCCAAGTTTTGGTGCAGCCTTGTGGTGTAAGGGTTACTGTTTTGCGGGTACACGCTTTTAGACATTCATGGCTGACAAATAACTTGCCCCGAACTGTTCCGAGGATTTCATGATAGGCCTATGCCTTGCAGATCCAAAACTTGACAGTCTACATGTAGATCTTTGTCGTGTCGTGAAACTGCCAACAGAAGAACTGAATCTAGCAATATGCAAACCCTTTCATTTGTACATGGGACTGCCTTGCAATTCCAAAGTGACGTGTGCAATATTTATATCACACAACCCTGACAATGCGGAAATGCAATATAATTATGCCGAGGAGGAAACTGGTCAGAACCTATAATCACATTGCAACTTGGCAACCGTACTTCATCAGACTTTACTTCCTGGATTGCTGAATTTGAGCAATTACCTTGCCCGCTGTCAACAAGATCATTTCACTTTCACTTCCTGGTTACGAAAAACTGCCCAACAAAACTCAGAAGTCCGTCCGAGGCTTTCAGTATGCTTGAAAAATTGGAAGAAACTCAAATTCATTTCAAAGTTTATTTTAAGCGGTGATTTTCCAAACCTGGAAAAACCCAAACCTTTCACTTCCTGGTTACGAAAAACTTCCCAACAAAACTCAGAAGTCAGTCCGAGGCTTTCAGTATGCTTGAAAAATTGGAAGAAAGTGGTGATTTTCCAAACCAGGAAAAAACCCAAACCTTTCACCTCCTGGTTACGAAAAATTTCCCAAACACAGCGGTTTTCTGGTTTATGGACTTGTTCCCAACTCAGATTAGTCAGTTTGCGGCTGGCAGTATGCTTGAAAAATTGGAAGAACCCAAATCCATTTCACCGTTTATTTTTAGCAGTGATTTTCCAAGCCCGTAAATTCGTAGAAAGCCTTTATCATTCTCCCATTGTTATCACAGCCGCCGGGTTATCAACTTCAAGCATGTGACTCTGTTTTCAGAACATGCAGTAAAGAACACTATCTGAAAAACAAGGTCAACAAAACATATTATTAGAGTTACTTTAATTTCTTTGAAGTAGTTCCAAAGTTCAGTTCTATTTTTTTTTTGGTCATATAATATTTTGAAAACAAATACTCAAAACAGTTTGTATTGACATCATGATCATGGTAGAATTTAACACAGAACCATAAAAATAAAACATTAAAACACAGAAGAAAACATTAAAACTTTTTTTTAGAGAAATCTTTGAGCCTGCTATGATAAACAGGGGCAAACTTCTTGATATTTGCTGGGTAAAATAAGGTTTATTACAGCAAAAAGGTCCAACATGCAACAGCGAGTCAGGTTGGCATAGCGGTACTTTCCTCGCCTTCCACAGCTGTGACCCAGGTTCGAATCCTGCCTGGGCCAATATGTGGCTTGGGTTTTCAGTCCCTAACTGACTCTGAACAGGTCCTTGACATTTGTAGACAAATATTTTGTTTACTCAAGTACTGATAACATTATAACCAAATGGACAAATCAACATCTATAGGCAGTGTTCAAATCTGATATTGGTATCTTTATTGCCACTATAAAAGGGACTTCATTTGTCAACTATATATAAGATCCTGAAGCATGCCTGTCTGCCAGATTTGATTTACGATGGTCAAAAATGCGGTCAAGTTTTTTGTAACCTGTCAAGGACACCTTAGACTCTCTGACACAGCATCACCATTATGACTTATGGTAATCCTTATCTTTAGGACACCTCTATTTTTTATGAGTTCTGTTCAAAACTGACTTTTGCAGATGACTGTCCAGTACCAAAGTGATTTTGCAGGCTAAAGCAGTCTTTTTTCTTCATAAACTCAAGTTTGAAAGCACTTTTAAAGAAAATGTGACTTTCCTACTTTTTTTGGCAGTCAGACGTGCATGTTGTAGTTCTCACAACACGAGTGAAAGCCCAACATAATGATAGCTCGATGCTGATTGGCTGCTAAAAAAAATAAATAAGATGTTTACTTTTTATCAGCCAATCAGCAACGAGCTTTCATTGCATCAAGCTTTTCACGTTTGCCATCTTGGTTTTTGAGTCTGTTTTCTGGTTCTCACCGTCGTCTTTTGCCCCTTGATTTCCCTCATAAATCAAAGCCCTGCCCTCTTTCCACAAAAGTAAAACTGCTGATATTCAAGAAGGTGTCACTGCCAATTGTTCAGATGTGTCAAGAAATATCAGAATGTCAATTTTGAGTGTCATTTAGTCAACTGTTTTGGTGTGTCTTTCCCTATAGGAACAGGGTCCTAAAAGTAAGGATTACCTGACTTATGATGCTTAATCCCTCCAAAATAGCTTATCAACAAGAAATTAAAACTTGTCTGTTTTATTTGATTATTGATTTCTTTTTTGGTGCAATATTAGGGCTGTCCATTTTCAAATAATTAATATTAGTTATTCGAAACTGCACTTGACCGAATATTCGAACATTCAAAACTTGCCGATCGAGTTTTACACAAGCCAGCTGCAGCTGCCTTCCTGGCTGGTCAAAAGTTGCATACAAAGCACGCTGGTTTAAATTTGCATGCTGCAATGGATATATAGAATGCTGGGGCTTAATTACTTCTGAAAATTAAACCAACAAAACACATCAACTCAATTCTAAAACTAATTTGGGGGATATGCCCCATCCCCAAAAGCACAGAGACCAGAAAGAATGTTGCAACCTGACGTCATTTTTTTCTTCATTATATCATCTAAATAAAGGTCATTGCAAAAACATTAAAAAAAGACATGAATCTCGGACGGAGAAACATTTCCAAGTTTGTTAGAAATACTTTAAAGATGGGAAAGAATGCTGCAACCTGACTCTGCTTTTTCCTTCATATAGCATCTTAATGAAGGTCAGTAATTGCAAAAATGAGGATAAGACATGAATCTGAGACTGAGAAACATTTCCAATTTGTTACTTGAACATTTGAACATTTTCTTGACTCTCCATTTTGTACACGAAGTAGGGTCAGGTTGCAATATTCTTTCCAAAAAATGCATTTGAATATCTCCTTAGACTATGTAGTACTGTACACAATCAAAGAAGTGGCATCAGGATGCAACGTTTTTTCTAGCCCCATAAATGTGGCCTATTTACTGGACTGCCTCCGTAAACATAGGCCACACGTCCACATGTACAAAAATCGTGTCGAATTTGCCAAATTTTGATTTTCACATTTAGGCTTAGTTTGTAGGATTTTTTTGCTTTAGAAGCATACTCACCCGCTTTATAGGCTAGTCAGAAAGTGCTGCCTTTTTCAGATGTCTAATTTTTGTGAAATTTCATGTTGAAATTTTGATACGCAAACGTGTAAAAATGAATCTGGAAATTTCACGAAAAATATACATCTGAAAAAGGCAGCACTTTCTGATTAGCCTATAAAGTGGGTGAGTATGCTTCTAAAGCAAAAAAATCCTACAAACTAAGCCTAAATGTGAAAATCAAAATTTGGCAAAGTCAACACGATTTTTGTACATGTGGACGTTTGGCCTATGTTTACGGAGGCAGTCCAGTAAATATGCCACATTTATGGGGCTACGTTTTTTCCTACTTCTCGAATTACATGTAGAAGGCTTGACAGAGAGTTTCCTTCTAATTCTAGATGTAGTTTTTTCCATTTTCTTTTCAAGATAACACAGGCCTACATACAAGTATTTTCAAAGACTAACCACCATTGAGGTATAATCTAACAAAGGTGGTAATCAGATCAGAATATCGTAGGCAAATAAAGGCTTGGGTCTGTGTCACTTTCAGTTTCAGTAGCCTATTTCACCACAAGTAAAACTTAAAAGTAAAACCACAATCATGACCTTTTTTCTTTTACAAAGTTAACACACACACAAATATCATTTATGATTTACCTTCACTCGAAGCTGTGTCCAGGGCCCTAGGAAAACACCAATGTTCGTCAAATGTCCCTATCTACTCAATCCATGATCCACCCAACAAGTTTTTCGAACATTTTACTTGACTTCGCTTTGTGTTTGATGAGTGTGAGTTTGTGGTGCATGCAGCTGGCTGATCAGCAGCACTGTGGTACTGTGATGTTACTTGTTATTGTTAGTATTTAGCTCACATGACAAGTACCGCGCCTGTACGTCTTGACACTTAATCGCTTGAGGGCGCCCTTCAGAAAGTTTATATTTCAGAATCAGTATTGGCTCGTCGTCCCTGTTATGTTTTAATCCGTCTTTTGTGAAGACAAACGGGGCAAAAAAACCTTGACCTTTTGGATGTACAAAAAAAATGGGACTTTCCATTTTGAATGCCGATGAACCAGGGAGGGCACTATTGCAGTGTTGTATACATTAGTCCACGGGTCAGGACCCCAAAATCCACCAATTGTTGTTTCACCCGAGCTGGCAAAATGTTTCCATTGCTGTAAACTAGTTTATATACCTTGATATGATAGCCTTGTCAATGTGATAGCTTATTATTGATTATCACACCTTGAATGTCCAGACCCCATCTTTTTAACGTTATCCATATGGGCATCAGGGGGCGGGGCCACAGCCACCCACCCCCACAATGCAACATTTTATAATTACTCCTGTACGAACATCTGAAGTTTGTATTTTGATATGATAGCCTTTTTCAACGTGGTAGCTTATTATTGAGTATCAACCCTAGAACGTCCAGACCATGTACCAAGATCCTATAGGCGCTACATGATCTTTGGTCCAGACCTTTTTTTCAACGTTAACCCTTTCGGCATCAGAGGGCGGGGCCACAACCCCCCTTCGCCCCACAATTACTGCTGGATCTAACAAAGATCTGCTTAATCATCCAGAATTAGCCTACACTAAACATAAAAAACAATTTACTCACATATAAATGTTATACGATTTTCTCTTTGAAAAGCAAAAAGAAATAAAACGTTAAAAAAATATTTTAAAAATTATAAAATTTTCTTTAAAAAAAAATGAGTAGGTTAATTTTCATTTTTTTTTTTAAATTGGCCGAGTGTCTAGCCTAGCTTCCATTGAGTTACATTACTTTGTAGTCGTACACGTCAGGGAATCTCAACGCTAGGAACATGACTGCCTATCCCCGCTAAAGTATTCAAGGGTTTGTTTAAAGTGATTGAAGCATGTTCAAAACAAAATCTGCTATATTTTTTAAATAGGATCACCGATTTTACAGAATTCTGCTAACAATCTGGTACAAATTTCCTTATGCTCTATAGATTTTCTGCTGGATTAGCTTTTTTTCAAGCAGTCTGTCAAGTCTAGCCGAAAATCGGTTAAAACGTTATTTGTGCGGTACAAAATAATGTACACCATTTTCGTCTGCTCATTTTTTTTTAACCAGACTCCCTCGTCCAATCAATTTGGCTAGACTGACATGAAGACGTCACCAACATACTTCTGACCAATGAGAAACAGGCCACGCGAGCACGCGTGCTACGTCACTTACGGATACTTTCTGGAACGCCCTCCCGTCTTATAATAATAGGGCATTTTTCCCCGAAACTGATGCTACTTTATCTGGAATGTGGAGAAATACACACTGAGTACTTTGGCCCAAGGCAGCGCAAAGACCAGTACGGAGCAACAGCCAGCGATATAAAACATGACACTTTTCACCTCCATATCATTACGCCACGGAAAATTACCGAGAACGGGGCCGGGTCAACGGACACTGTACTGTACTGGCGCAGGCAGCTCGCAATGTCTTCCCGCTATTTTTGGTCAGTCACCAAAAATTGCCTCAAATTTCACAAGCACAACTCGATACTTTAACCTCCGAGTCTGCCGTCCAGCTTCAAGCCTCCAACGCGGAAACTTGTACATCATACCCTGGAGTCTTCATAGGCGCAAAAAACATCATATTTGGACGCTTGGAATCTTGCAAATCGACCAGAAAACCGGCCTCATGTACGGGGTCACTGCAAAGCTTCGACGCAGACATGTTGTGTCGTCGTCACCCATATTGAAAGACTGACTTGAACATTGCTGTAGGCCTACATAACTTGTCATAACTTTTGTTTTATAGAACTGAACTGGACTTCGCAAAGCATTCCTTTGAATGCTCATTTTGTGCTGAACTGAACTGAATGGACACATGGAATTTTTTTGAACTCATAATTTTGTCGAATGATCTGAATGACGTTTTTGGAAAATACTGAAGTCAAGCTTTTGGAGTTCGTCGGGTAAGTCCAACTTTAATTAAGGAACTATCGAGGTCATGGAGGTGAGTGAAAAATTATCTTCTCCTTCCGTCACACAGAACCAAAAGACGAAAAAGCGTCCCAATATTCTACACTTTGAGCAATATGGTATATGCTATATCCGCCTGCATTGTAGACTTCATTTCGAAGAAAGATGCATGGAGTCAGAAAATATTCATTCTTTTCTTTGACTTTGATCCTTGAATCGCATTTCGGTAAAACAAAAATGTTACGTTATTTGCAATAAACATAATGTATTGCATTCTGTACATGAGGTTGTATTTTGCATTGTTGAATATTGTGCGATACAATTCTGCAATTCTCTTTAATTAGCTAAAGAAAATTGGAATAGCGACAAGCACGAAATAATCATGTGTGTTTGTTGACCACGAAATCGCGTCCATTTTAGCCTACATTGAATTAGTCTTCTTCATTGCTGAATAACCTATTGTACGTTGAAATTCCATTCCTGTAGGCGAAAGCCATTTTGGTTTAGAGTTATTAGCATGTGAATACATGCAATTTGTTTGTCAAAATCATACATGCACAAGCCTTTTGGTGCATTGCGCATTTCACGCATTGTGTCAAAAGCTAGCTCGTGGTGCGAGTCTGCACGTGAGCCGCTCGTGGCCGGCGCAGTGTGGGCGTGGTAATAGATTCCGGCGATTCTTATTGGTTGAAAAGTTGAAAGGCCGCGCGCGCGGTATGCATCCAGGTGCACCGTTTTTGCTACACTTTCAAAGACATTCCAGCAAGACAGGGGCTTATAGGGATTTACTCAAAAGTTGGAGTAAACATGTTTAGATTTTCGTTGGAGGGTTCCTTGGAATTTGGATTGCCTTTTTGTTATGATTGTATTAAAATTACAGGTTTAAAACTTACCAAAACAAATAGTTTCGAACTTTTATGTAATTATTCAAAGATGAAATGAAAAACCTGAACACCATAAAGGAGTCAACAACAGAGCCAACGGATTTTATCATAAACCTGAATTTATTTAATGTAATTTATTTTGAGTATTATAGGGCGGCATTCCAATGGACCAAAATCAATTTTTTTTTCGGACAATGTATCCACGGATCTCAAATTTGTATAAATTGCTCAAAATAATTAACTTTACACCATTAGCTTCAGGGTAACTTGTATATTATAATATACTACTATAAGTTCAAGATGACAACTGAAGAAAAATACTTAGAGCTGAATTATCATCATTATGATTGTATAAATAGAGATGTTATCTGGTTATAACAGATAGCCGACGGAATTATTTGAAACTCAAATGAATTGGAGAAGACCTGCTGTTGCGATCGAGACCAGCGAAATTCGACGTTTTGAAAAAGGCAAATAAGGTTAAGTTATTATTGTATTAAATGAATGCTTACGGTTCAGGTTAAGGCGTAGTATTAAGGCGGGGTATGTTGGGGTATAGGCACATGGCGCGCGTAGGCTAGGCAGCCGAGCACACCAGCAGCAGCGTAAGGGAGCTTGACCTGGCACAGCCATGGTGTAAAAATTAACTTACAAAAATATTTTAACAAAACAATTTAAAAATTACCTTTTCGGGGCACAGTAAAAATCGTCGGGCTAATCGTAGCTTGATCCTTAAAAAAAAATAACGGTAGTCAATTACAAATCTGCATCGAGGTAGTGCATTGTAATGGAAAAATACAATGTTATCAATATTAGAAAATTTCTCTTTAATATCAATTTTGGTTTTTGAAATAAGTAGACACACATTACTGAGCTCTAAGCTTACATGGGTTGACGAGCAACCGTCATTTTAAAAAATAGGAGGACATCGTTGGGGTAGATTTCGCGATGTTATAATTGTATTTATGATATCGTCTTCCCGAAGAGTGTTCTTGGTGATATCTTGTAGGTGAGATGCCGTCTTCCCGAGAAAAAAATACTTCCTGGGTTGATGATATCTTGTAAATAAGACATCGTCTTCCCGAGATAGTGTCATCACGGGTAGGTGATATCTTGTTTGTATAGGGTGAGATGTTGTCTTCTCGAGAAAAAAATCTCTGGTCGATGATATCTTGTAGGTGAAATATCCTCTTCCCAAGAAAGAAAACATTTCTCGGGTTGAAGATATCGTGTTGGTCAGATGTCATCTTCTCGAGAACAAAATGTATCTCCGGTGGATGATATCTTGTAGGTTAGATATCGTTTTTCCGAGATAATATTTCATCACGGATTGGTGATATCTTTTAGGTGAGATGTCGTCTTCTCGAGGAAATAAAATATTTCTCGGGTTGACTATATCTTTTGGGTGAGATGCTATCTTCTCGAGAAAATAGATATTTCTCGGGTTGATGGTATCTTGTACGATATCGTCTTCCTGAGAAAATTATTCACTGGTTGACGATATCTTCATTTTCATATTTTCCGATACCAAATCAGTTAATTATTTCATTAAAACGGATGATAAGTGTCTACCTTCCGTGATAAAAAAAGAAAGATTTTATCAACTCATAGCTACTACGGAGCTCTTTAAAATATAATTATTGTAAAAAAAATAAGTCTTTTACTGAATCAAAATCATTAAAACAGCTTTTCTAATTGGAAAATAAAATGAAAATGTATGTCCGAAAATTTAAATCTTAAGTTCAGCAAAGCTCGATGAGGTTTTCGGTTTTGAGGGATACCAATGAATAAAAATTAAGGCAAAGCTATATAATATATGTAGCCAAATAAAATATAAAAATTTAAGTGCATAAAGAGCAGGTGGTAATAAAATAATAATAATACGTCAATAAATAAAATAAAGGAAGCTTTAGCGTGCTGCAAGCGAGCAAGTAGCAGCTTGCAAGACACTTAGGAACTTTGGGAATCGGGGAGGGAACGAACGTATTTAATTTATACCAACGTTATCCTGACAATGCCTTTGTGCAT